TAAGAGAAAAATACAGCAACTGCATAGAGAAATGTCTTATATGAAATGACAACGCATGAGCATGTTGGGGTTTTAACGGATTTTTCTGAACGGACTTCCAATTTTTTCTTGGTTTTTTAGGGCGCTTGGATCTTTTTCGTTTTTGGCTTTAATCTTCGCTCGGATCAAAGCTGCTGCAAATCTTTGAGCACTATCTTGTAGAGCTAGGTTTGCTCTATCTAATGATATATCGAATCCTACTTGGGATACAAGATTATTGCGGATTATTGCGGTCTGTACCTATTTTGGTGCAGGAATTATGCATCAACCTAATAGAATTTTCAAATCTACAGAAATCGGATGTTCGACTGCCAAAAACTTGCGTATCTTCCACCAGTCACGCTTACATTAGGTTGAACGAAAATTCTGTCGCACCATTATCAGAAAAACGTAACTTCTTTCTGTCTCGATATTTTTGCGTGGCAAAAACACCACCAAAAAGAGCACAGAGTTCCAAGCCAAAGCAGGAAGAATTTCGAATTCCCGAAAAAACGAAAACCATCGTATCTCAGTTCAAACAACTTTGCAGATTTCCCACTTGCTCACGCATGTACCTTCCTCACCAGATATTTATACATGTGGTTGCCGCATTTTTCTGACGGCTAGGAATCAAGAAAAAAATTATGAACTAATTTTTCAAATTTTGCTTGTAGCGTCTGTGTTCCTCGCGAATATGTGATTATATAGCTTATTCACTTAAAGATACTGCCACAAATTTGCAGCCTTCTAGGTGCCCTAGATCTTGAGAAATATTGATTTGAAGGTTCAAATATTAAAAGACTTATGGGACAACCTAATAATCTCGCAGTGATTCCTCCCACTGACTGATCTTGAAGAATAGAATCTCTCTCAGTGTAATGCATCAACTTGTGCTTGATGGCAAACTACTTATTCTTCTTGTCAGGTATCATAAATTATTTATGAGATCGTGTTCGCGATATTCTTATGGTCGTTACGGTGACATTCGTTGACGTAAATCCCCCTAAAAGTAGCGCTAGCGTTCCATTCAAGTTGACGTACCATTTGTCTTGGGCATGTAATCTATACGATCTCTCGTTCCCGTTGTAGTTTCTTATGCTTAACGACTTGATCTGAACTCGTTAGATCTGACGGTGATTTTTAGCTTGCGCGTTGCGTGCAGTATCGCTGCCGCTGACCATCACCGTGTCCGATTCGCCGCCATCACTGAGCTGTGAGCCCGACGGAGAAGCCGTCACAATAGTGCCTTTTCACGTAGTACATCCGTCTGCTAGATTTTTCGACAAATTCTCTTCCACCTACCCATGCGGTTGATATACTGCTTGGTCATAGGTAGGTTACATTTTTCTACCGCGAAATCCTTCTAATTTCAATTACTTTGAGGCCTCTCATTTATCTTTGTTGGGAAGACTGCTGGGACCGACAACATGCTGAAAACTGCGAACTTCACAGAGGTATAGCTTAACGTATTCTACTTTCCACCAATACACTAGTACGTGATCTATCATTCATATATTGTCATACGTTGAAGGACTGTGAAACCAATCAACTAAAAAACCAATCGGAACGCATATCAAAACCTCAAAATCTTCTTTGCCAGAGCTTTCTTTACTACCTCATCCGTTTCCTTTAAGTTTCAAAGCCTTATTAATCGTATATCTTTGTTGTGAAAGCTGAGGCGTTCTAACACCGTCATTTATGCGTGCATTGACCTCTAGTTACTTCGTATTTTGGCAGAAGCCGCAAATCAAAAATTTCAGAGCATTTAGTAATAGCTTCACATAGTTCCCCCTCATTAGTAGTGTTCTTTATGCAAGCAGTTATTATAATTCTCTTGTTCAATAGATAATTCTCTTGTTTAATATAATTCTTCAAAGAAGCGCCTGTTCTATGGTTTGCGTTTGCATTTTGAATAACCCCGCTTATGGAAATTGTGAAAAGACAGAGCTTATCTTCAGAACTGAAAAAAGTAGCATAAAACAGTCATTAACGGAATAACTCATGCGTTTCTATCTTTTCTAATGTTTCCTTTTCTTTTTTGAAGGAGAACCACTTCGACATCGTCTTCTAACTGGGTAATTGGTGTTCACTATACTTGGGTAATTCGAAAATTTTTCATCGAATGAATAAATATCGAATAAATTCGAAAAGGAAAAATTTCGAATAAACGAATATCGAATAAATTCGAATATAAAAAACCTCGAATAAACGAATATCGAATAAATTCGAGGTTCAAAAATTCTCGAATGAATGAATTCCGAATAAATTCGGAAAATCAAAAGTATTGAATGAATGAATATCGAATATATTCGAACATTGGAAGTCGAATTTCGAATAAATATTTAAATGATTTATCGAATAACTAGAGCAACCATATCTCAAACTTGCCCACATATCTGGCTAAAGCCGATCCAATCATAATCAGCACCCTCGTATCCCCTAAACCAACTCCTAGCTCAAAATTTTCCAAAAATCGCTGAAATCGTTAAAATAGATTTTGGTTTTAATCAGCATTCTCATTTACCTCCCCCCCCCCCCGTACCAACTCCCAACCTCGTAGCTCGAGATTTTCCAAAGATCGATAAAATCGATAAAGTAAATTTCTATCGATAACCAGCACCCTCGCTTACCCCCTTGTACCAACTCCCAGCTCCGTAGCTCGAAGGCAGGTAGCTACTAAGGCGAAGGCAGCTACGAAGGCATGTGGTTTATTCCGCGAAGCGAGCACGAAGCCCCTATAGCTCCGGGCATACTGCAGGCATTTCAGTGGCGACGTGTTTTGGAAATAGTCAAATTCTCCAAAACTTTTTCTAAAAGTACAGAATGCAGGGCGTTTATTTTTTGATAAGTTGTACACGCTAAACATTTGGTAAGCTGGCGTTACATTTGAAGACATCTCGTAATTGGCAAGTCGCGTACGGCGATCTAAACCGTCTAATCCTCCACTATAACTGCGATGTCCTTTACTCAAAATACACCAATTCGCAAAAACCTCCAAGGCAAGAATAGAGACAGTTGTGCAGTATAACTTATGCAAGCAAGAGTGCTCACTAGTGTGGGCACTGCGTACCGCAAGCATGAGCAATGCAAAGAAAGAAGAACAGGCATTTTAAAACTTTCAGTATATGAACTTGGAATATGAGCTTGAACTTGATAGCTTCTTTGAAGATTTGATGGCAGCAGCAGTGCGAACAATCTCATTGATCGAAAAAGCATCCGAAATCCACATATGATTATATTATTGTCGCAAGCAGTCGAGAAAATGCGACTCTCCATACAGTTCAAAGGTCATAACGGTTTCAAAAGATCCATTACCGAATTTTGCGAAAAAAACGCGGACGAAGTGAGCTTGATACTCAGCACTTGGCTCTGCAACAAAGTGATATAATCTGAATAGGAGTTCATTCGAATACGAATTCGAATAAACATTCGAATAAACCATTCGAGTAATATCTATTCGAAACCCCGTTTTTTGATTATTCGAGTTTTCGAATTTTATTCGAAACCCTGTGTTTTGATTACCCTATTTTCCGGAGTATAAGCCGCATTTCTTTTCGCCGCGCGCGGGCTAAATTGCGATGTCGTTCGCGATGCGCGAAGCCGCACAAGCAGCAACTACTATCTATTTCGTCTGGTAAAATCTAATATGGACTTTTTGCTTTCGTTCTTTATTTGGTTTCTTCGCAAGTGTATTTGTTTGTAACAAAATTCTCTACCTTCTCAATTATTCTTCTCCGCTGAACAATAAAAGAACGTTCGAATACCAGTAGTAGCATGAAATCGAAAGGTGATAAGCTTCAGACCGGTAAATCAATATAAAAGAAAGCACAAATTCAACACCACTTCAGTAACATCATTGAAAAAAGAAAGCACAGCAACCAGTAGTATCGTTTAGGAGAGAAAACACAACCCAGACACCCGCAAAGTCATATGAAACAAGAAAAAAAGGTAGACATGACTATCCGTACTAGAACGCACCGGTTTTCAATTTGCTATATAGCTCTCTTCTGAAGCGCTTTCGCGCCTGCTCGCTGCGGCGGGTGCGGCTTATACAAGGTGCGGCTTATACGCGGAAAATAGGGTATTCGAGTTTCGAATTTTATTCGAAACCCCGTTTTCTCAATTATTCGAGTTTTGAAAATTATTCGAAAATGGAAGAACTCCGAATAACGAATTTCGAATACGAATATATTCGAATGTTTTATTCGAATGATCGACTATTCGATTCGGACCCAAGTATAGTGTTCACCATTTGTAACAGTCGTTGTCGTGACCCACTTGCAGAAAAATTTTCAATGAAAAGGTATCAAATGTGGTAAATACGTACACCACAGCTCATTAACTCTTTCCAACCAAACCACCATGCTAGCTCGATTGTCGCCTCAAATAGTTAATATCGTAAGCAAGGTTACGGAGTCTCTTTTTTGGAAAAATTCAAATTGCAAGAATGTTCGACAACGTATTGTAACGACATCCGCTCGTAAAAAAAATCATGGCCAATCCTTGACTTTTGGAGGTGCGAAGAACACAATGCTGTTGAATAAAAAAACGAGACACAACTTTTAATGTTTAATTTTGATTGTCAGAATCTGCGTTGAAAATAAATTCAAGTTTAGGTACAACTTGACGACAAGGGCACAAATGGAAGGCCGCGCAAATTCAAGATTCTTCGTACTACTGGTGGTCGTTGTTTCCCTATTTTTGCACATTTTTGAACTACTAAAGAAAATTTGCAGACACAGTAATCAATCTAAACGCGCTTTCCGATCTGGACAATGAGGATGTGAGTTTTTCTAGCAGAAAGCATCAGCGTTATAATCAAACGGCTCCCATTATGCGTAAATCGAATGTGCACGGGACTCGTTCACGTGCAGATAAACATCATTCGAGTACACAACGCTAGCAAACTTTCGAAAAATCGGATTCGCAAGAGAGGCAAACAAGAGGAAAGCTTCAGTATGCGTGTTTAGGGATTTCTGGACATGAAGAATATGGTTGACATTACTCGCGAATCCGCGGAAAAATTAAACGATGTGGAAGATGCGGAAGAGTGAGCTTAGTTCATTACATAGCTCTTAATCGTAACCTTAGTTTAGATTTTTGCTCAACACAAATACCCCAACAGCTACCGACTCATCTTCTACGACAACTGCTAAGTAAGTTTGTACCACGGTTTCTTCTTTAATCAACGACTTACATGAAGAAACTATGAAAGTAGGTAGATCTTTGTGATATTGGCAGGCTGAACACAATTAAAGTGACCGATGGATTTGCACATGCTTTCAGCACAATATTTGAATCAAGAAATAGTAATGACTCAAACCATACCACATTATTTTTACACCGTACTTTGACAGCGGCTTTCGAGGCGGAGGAAAAGGTAAAAATGAAATCAATAGCACAAAATTTCGAGCATGCAATATTAATATTTGTGGATTTCGAAGAAGTTCTTGGTTATCAATGTCTTTTCGCAGTTAATTGTTATCAACTGCAGCTCTGCACAGCGAAGAAGTTCTTTAACTACATACCGATTTTCAAATCACATCCTATGATAATCGATTTCTCAATATCTGAGAGCCATTTCGAAATTTTTTCAATTAAACGTGGAAATGACATTAGCTCAGGTTGGCGCGAAGGTTCTTACGTAATGCAAACAAAAATAATAACTTCTTTAGAAATTACTGGGCTTAAATTTATAGTTCAAAGTCTCAAAAATATTACAGGTTTTGTGCTTTATGATAGATGTTTAAGCCTGACATTTCATAAGTTAGCCACCGAAAGCATTGAAAAACGGCATTTAAATTTTCGCGATTTTGAGTTTGGCTCTAAAATTTCGGAGAAGGCTGACAGCTAGCCCAAAATGTGTGTAAAAATGTCTTACACAGCAAGATACTAAATATACTCAATACAGAATACGTAATTTTGGCAGGCTTCGATCTCGCACGGAACTGCAAAAACAAGAAATTCCAAGAGCGTGTCCTTCTACAAGAGAAATCCCCTTATGCTGCAGTTTTATACAGAAACACAGAAGCCAGAAATCAGACCTAGTGTTTATTTAATAGACTCTGACTCTTTTTGAAGGTCAGACAATGTTTTTTTTGCTGGAAACGTGCGGTATTGAGGTGATATTTTGTGTGAGATGACATTTCTCACAGATTTTTCGTTTTTGTGTTACCATAAAAGTTTGAAATCTGCCAGAGTAGTGTATGGACTTTTCCCCAAAAAATCTCTTCACATTTTTTGACTAGCTGGCGCGAAGTTCTAGCACTACGCTCAAAATCGCAAAAGTTAAATCGCCATTTTTGAACGCCTCGTTCTCGGTCGCTCTATGGAATGTTAGGTGTAATCATTAAAGCGCAAATCGATATGTTTAAAACACTGAATGAATTTAGGTTCAGTATTAGGAAGGTTGATGGATGGTTTTTGTTTGTTTTACGCAAGAACTCTCACGCCAAGTTAATATAATACAATAAATTACTAGAGATGGCTGGAGATTTTGATAGAGAACCTATTTTTAGGATCTTTTGCATTCACTGTAGCTTGTTAACTTTTTTTGTTTTTTTGAAGAAAAATAAAATGTAAATCATACAGGCCTGTCCTTTCTTTTATATGGATCAAGTAATCGACCAGCAAAATAATCGTTGTGTGCGTTGCAATTCAGGCGTCACGTTGTCTCACGGGAAATTATAATGAATCGATGATTCGGGAAGGTTAAGATAAGGATGAAAAAGACATAGAGGCTCTTCGAAATCTAGTGAGTTTTAGGGCCGCATGCATTAACATCCTCGCTGGGGGAGGGGATCGCAGGATAAAAGGAAAGCCTTATATCCTGAAGCTCCAAATGTTTGGAATTCAAGTTGTACTATCCTTCACCATGAACATGTTGAACAGGAGCAAGAAGCTGTACAAGCCGCATTTTTCAGCTTTTTGTCTGATCGCCTGATGATCCCCGGGGGACGACCGTCTACTCTCTATCGATCGTTCATTCTTTGAAGTCATTTCTCTTTCTTCAAAGTTAATGAAAACATTCCAAAGTTGCACTGATTATCTAACCCAGCAGTATTAAGCATATTGCTGATGAGAACAAATGAGCTTCTGAAATATCGAAATTTCCGTTAAACCTCAACATTCGACCTGTGGTTCATCGAAAATATCATGACTCCAAAACATCATTTGTTCTTATTAGCAACATGCTCAGCACTGTTGGATTAGATAAGCAATACAGCTTTGGAATGTTTTCATTGAGTTTGAAGAAAGAAGAGTGACTTTAAAGAGTAGACGGTCTTCCCCCGGGGATCATCAGGGGATCATACAAAAAGCTGGAAAATGCACTTGTATAGCTCCTCGCTTCTGTTCAATATGTTCATAGTGGAGGATGATGGGAATACTTACTGATAGGTAAGTTAATGCATGCGGCCCTTAGTCAGGGTCAAGCATGGGGTGTGGCATGCCATGCCTGAGGGGCTGCATTGAGAAGGTCAGGAAAGGAGGGGGTCGTTATTGAGGTGACAATGATGATATTCATGTCAACAATGTCAAATAGGCCCATTATGCAAAATACTAGCACATTGATGTTTTGGCCTACCATCGTAAACGTACAATGAGCATAATAAAAGAGCGCTAAAAGCATAGAGAATCATTCTCGTATCAACATGTCGAATAATCCCTGTGACTCAAAGATGGGCCAACCAAGTGAGATGGTCATTTTCGAACATGCTAGCTTTGTTCCAAAGGTGAGATATTACATATTACTTTTTCGCACTAAAGGACCGTCCACCCAAATCCTTGATTTTGAGTTTTTGTCCTTTTTGCACCTCTTGCGCACGCTAATTCCGAATCCAGGCCCAAAACTGAACGAAAGTCTCAAATTAGTGAGCTTTGATGCCCTTCAGAATCTGCAGTAGATGAGCACTTCATGCGCTTGCCGGCCACCCGCGGGCTAACTGTGAGCCCATTGCAGGGCGGGGAACGCTAGATACGTTACGTGACACTCTTGCATGATTTGATCGAGTTTTGATCGAGTTCTTGAGCTTTGCGCCTTTTAGGCAAAATCAGTGAGTGGGCGAGACGAACGTACCGCCCACTTGCTAGTGAGGAGCCAACGTGGCGAATCCGTCTTCCGAAGGATTTTCGAAGCAATCCTCTCGCTTTGGAAGCAACTTCAGACAGCGCGAGTTGGGCAGCCATACAGTTCAGAGTCTCGCAACTGTTAGACATCGAAACCTCATAGATCCCATTCCGGGTGGACGGTGTCTTTAGAAAGAACTTCTAATCCTTTGCTCTTTGCTTTCCTATACTAGAAATCCCACTTCAAATAACCTCCAAAATATGGAACTGAGGGCAAGTAAAAAACCTCGTCTTTCCCATTTTTCACTTTCCACATCTCACAATCAGATTAGAGGAGACCATTCTGACCCGAATCACTTTTGTGGAAGTAACAAGGTTTAGGCTATCGAATGTATTCATTATCCCCGCCTTCCCTCGCGATTAACATAGTAGAGCCTACTTACAGTCGTTTCATTTCATATGATCATGTGTGTCATTGCACACACAGTTCACCTTTGGCGTCCCCATCCTGGATTCGTGGGAGAAACAAGCCTTCAGGTAAGTGTTTCCATGGTGTTCTTAGCATTTTCTTTCCTTTTTAGATACTAGTCACCTCAAATTGATTTAATCGATAACAATCGGTAAGTCTGCGTTTTTGCGATTGCAAATCCAGGATGAGGACGCCAAAGTGGACTGTGTGTGCAATGGCACACATGGTCATATGAAATGAAGCGACTGTAGTTTGCTACCGTAACCCATTATTTTCGCAGCATTTTCTTGCATAGGCAAGAGAGAACTATTAGGTTGTTACATAAGTCTAGTTACACTTAACTTCTAACGGCGATAAATCATGTACCTCATAATCTTTGCAGGACTCCAAGGTACCATTCGATAGAGCAAAGCAAGCTCTACAAGATAGCCTGCACAGTTTCACACCAACATCGACCCACGTTAACTTTGAATCCGAAATCTGAGTAGTAATGAAGGCTCAAAAATTGCGAAAAATTCATATCTTTGTTCAGAAAAACCCTACGAAAACTTGCTCATAAAAATTGCACACTATATTAGACACTCATATGTACCGTTGCTGTATTTTTTCCTCATCTAGAAATCGAGAAAACGAAAATTTTCTTGTTTTTACAAAAACGAAGCTATGCTGTTTCTTTTTTATGTAGCTGTATACTGCAAGCCCTTAGAAGTATAACCGTAAATTTTCAGCTTTCCGGAAGCCCTAGTTTTCGAAAAATATTGAATTTAGCTTTTTTCACTCGGGTGTTCAATACTCAATTAGGTAATTTTCGAAAACTAGGGCTTCCGGAAAGCTGAAAATTTACGGTTATACTTCTACGGGCTTGCAGTATACAGCTATATAAAAAGAAACAGCATAGCTTCGTTTTTGTAAAAACAAGAAAATTTTCGTTTTCTCGATTTCTAGATGAGGAAAAAATACAGCAACGGTACAAGTGAGTGTCTGAGGTAGTGTGCAATTTTTGCGAGCAAGTTGAAGATCCGTAGGATTTTACTGAATTTTTCGCAATTTTTTAGCCTTCACTACGACTCAAATTTCGGATTCAAAGTTAACGTGGGTCGATGTTGGTGTGAAACTGTGCAGGCTATCTTGTAGAGCTTGCTTTGCTCTATCGAATGGTACCTTGGAGTTCTGCAAAGGTTATGAGGTACATGACTTATCGCCGTTAGAAGTTAAGTGTAACAAGACTTATGTAACAACCTAATACTTTCTTGTCGATTCGTTGATTGCACTGCACAAACCTCGCGGACCACGCGCGGCGCGGCTGAATTGTGTGCTTGTAGGTAGGCTGTCTTGATGAGAGTGACGCGTCATCAGCCTCGGGGGATGGCGTGCAGGAGTTCCTAGCACCTTTCCTCGCACCAAGTTCGCACCATCAATCGCACCCAGGAGGGTTCTAGCACCTCCGCATCTCAGAGGTCAGAGGACCGCCCATTGCTCCACCCATTAACTGCCCTCATTGTGAGGTGAGCAAGCAGAGAGAACAGAGAATCAGAAATTGAAGTATTGAGAAAGAAGAAACTGGAAAAAAGAAGTAGCTGTCATTTCATAGTTGAACTATTTGGAAATAACTATGAGCATGTGATTTTTAGTGATTACGAACTTCAGTAATAAGTACGCTCTATTCAGTTAGTATCAAAACTTTAGTATGAATGCAGCGCCCAGTTTTTTTCAAATTGGCGGTTACCAGTTCAGATATAAAAAATTATTTCTAGAAATATGTTGCCACTCTCTGGATCGTTCGATTTGAAAATTTGATTGTTTGGAATGAAAAATCGGCTGCTCAGGTATATAAATGAAAATTGATCACTTGTGCATTCTCTTGAAGAAAATCGGTCACACTACCAGAAGATTTCGAGATTTACATGTTAGGTGGCCAATTTAGAGCTGGCTTAGGGCATTCAGCGTTCGACTTCCCAAATGACTGTACTTATCGAAGGCTGGAAATCTACTTTTTGTAGATTCGACATTAGAAAAATTATTTTGCAACGAGTTTTCGGTTTCCTTCACTCTAACATGCTGTTCATATGCTTGAATGTTTGTACTTGGACGCTTGTTAGACACGTTCACTTGTTCGGAGATTCGAGCGCTTGGCACAACGTAATCATCTTAGCATAGCATAACAAAAGATTCCTAAGCGAGCAGGTAAAGGTTGCGAAGAAAGTGTTGCTTTCCTTTTCTTTAAGACATAACTAACACTGGTAACCAAGATTTTGTGAATTTATCTGCACTCATTCGCTGTTTCTAATGTTTGAAAACAATTGAAATCGATTGACGAAATCTCTCGAATCAGCTTGATTTGAGATTCCACCGCATTTGCACAATCTAGAATGATCGCACTTAAAAGGCGGAGCCGTTCCTTGACCTGTGAAGGTGTGATGTCCCTTCCAGGTTTCTCTGAAGGTGCTGATCACTCCTGCAAGGAAAGTCGGCAAGGCTTTGGGAACTCCTGCCACGCCGCCACAGCACGACTTTTGTACATTGACAAATTTGTACTAGGGCAAGCGTTATACCTCGCGTCGTGCTTTGAAGCAATCTCCGTTCGTGCGGTCAACGAATCAACTATATCTTTTCCAGAAGAAAGATTTTGGATGAAATTCCTACCATGTAAAGAAGAAGGTTTAGCAGTGGCAACGATATACAAAGCACAATATTAGAATGCCTTGAAACTAAGAGTTAAGGAGGTGTGACACAACCTTCCATGAAAAGGTGTGGCGGCCACAGCTTCTCTGAGTTGTGCCCCACCCCATTGACTCACCTTCAAAGAGAATTTCAGCGAATAAAATATATAGAGAGTGGGATCCCAAAAGTCTTTGAGCCTAACTTTCCAACGTAATAACTTTGTTAGTATCCCTCGCTTTTCTGTCAAATTGCTTCTGAGTTCTTCGTTTAGTTGTCAATTCTAAGAAAATCATACCGTTTGCGATGTACATTCTCAAGATATTGTTCTCGGAGCAAACAGTGCTACGATTTTGAGAACAAGCCAACGGGAACATACCCACTATTCAAACATTCATACCTCACTTGCTCTCGAGCGGAACCTTGAAATGCAAACGGTTCACTCTACATTGAAGTAATAAACAGCCTCTGTTATGATTAAGTTACAACCAATTGAAGTAGTGCCGTGCCAATAAGAAGAGTTGTTGGAAGCAAGAACTCTAGAAAGCTGAAAATTCTAAAAAAATTTAAAATTAAACTAGTCTGAGTCACTAGTTCTAGCTGCCCCTGCATTTTTAGGGAAATATCAATCCGAAGTCGCTCCGGGTCCATAATTGCTGTATTCTTGATGTTCTCAAAAAATTGATTGCTACATTTTTACACTTTTGTTAAATTTCACAATACACCTCAGATTAACATGTTTTCTATCGCTGGGTCAAGAAGAACCCATGACTTTGCTTTGTGAGCAGTCATGGAAAGCAATGCTTGATCTTTTTCGTACTAAATTTTGGATAGTCTGGAACACGTGCTTCAGCGCGTGTGATGCAATCTCGACCTTAACTGCCTGTCTGCCACGTGCACGCGTTACGCAAGGGCAAATGTTGCTCAAACAAAATAAGATCAACTCAGCTCTAAGCAGTCTAACAAAAACCACGAGATTTTGGCTGTCGAACTTTTTAGAGTGTACCAAAAGTCTTTGAGCCTAATTTTTCAGCTGAGACGGTACGAAGCAACCTAGACACATGAAATCAAGCAGATATTTTGTAAAAGTCAAATGAGTTTTTTTTTCGAGATCTGAGCGTACCTTGTTGTTTTGTAGGTTCTTCAAGAAATACCATCAAATTTCATGTGTCTAGGTTGCTTTGGCTTTCAGGTGAAGAATTACTAGGCTTAAAGGAATAGAGGACATTAAGTCGCCGAAAAAGGAGGCCCCGCGCGGACATCTTCAACAAACCACGCGCCGTCACCATCAATGTTCTGTGCTATCTATCCGCGAGGGCGGAGCCTATCAGCGACCTAATGTCCCCCACCCAACTTAAAAACTTTTGGGACACCCTGTACAGTTCGATAGCCAAAATCTCGTATGCGAGCTAAACGTCTTCTTTCCTTTGAGCAATAGTTGCCTTAAGCACAACCACTTGAACGTTATGAATTCAAATGCACTCTGAGGAAAAGATGCGACTTAATTCTGTTGAAAGTTCGAGGGCAAAAACATATATGATAAATTTCAGCAAGAAACTCCACGAGTATACTCAGTTTAACAGTAATAATCGAAAGTTTTTGTAATTTGACATTTTCGCTCTAGCAATACCATCAACTCGTCCGGTTCTCCACCTGAAGCAGAAGAGTTGCCCACAGATGAATTCGCACGGTTAGCTTTTTGGGTGCTTAGCATACGGGAAGCATGCTCAGTCGAAGTGGCCTTGTTAATCGAAGGTTTCCCATATAGGAGAGCATAAACGCTGATTCCAAATCTGCCTTCTTAATCTGCGGAATAATTATGAAAGAAGAATGAAGAGCGTTTATTGGAGCAGAAACTTGAATGCGCAAGTGGAAAAGTAGTCGTAATACTTTTTGTAAAGCTCTACTGAAGCAAGATGATTATCAGAGGACTTTAGTTATAAATATTCTAGGATTAAAAAATATATCACAAATGATAGGTTTCTTTGACGCCTAGCATTATTTTAGCAGCCCATTCTATTCTAAGGGCACACTTGATTTTCTGCTGCAAGAAATGCTCATAACTACTCGTCCAAAAAAGTTCCGTAGATTAGTAAGACATTTGCAATCAGCGTCTTATGCTCTTCGATACCTTATATATACCATCTGAAAAGAATACTTCGACTAAAAATGCTTCTTTCGTTAGAAGCAACTCATAGAGTCATCAATGTACTTTGCAGAAAAGCCGATGCAGTTATTGACTCGTTAGAGGATGAGCCTCAAAGTACAAACGGCATCGAAAAAGAGCCCGAGTATGTAGCTAAACCTAGAGATTTCACTGATAACCTCTTTCTATCATTTATTCCAGCGCATCAATCAATAAGAATGTAGCGATCGATCCTCAACTACTCGACATAAGCCAGATGGAATCTTTTGTGGATATCTCGATGGATCAGACAGCATATTCAAATGTATCATCAGAATCTGACGTGAGCAGTATGTCGCAAGAAGTCAGGGACTTGAATGGGCCAATAAGAAGAACGATCGTGGATTCGGATTCTGTGGATCAGACCCTATCTGCGAATGCGTCATCAAAACAAGAACCGAGGACTATGTCACAAGAAGCGAAAGACTTGTTTGCAAACTCACAAGAAAAGTCCTCAAAACAAGAACCGAGGACTATGTCACAAGAAGCAAAAGACTTGTTTGCAAATTCACAAGAATCCTCAAAACAAGAACCAAGGACTAGGTCACAAGAAGCGAAAGACTTGTTTGCAAGTGCACAAGAAAAATCCTTAAAACAAGAACCGAGGACTATGTCACAAGAAGCAAAAGACTTGTTTGCAAGTGCACAAGAAAAATCCTTAAAACAAGAACCGAGGACTATGTCACAAGAAGCAAAAGACTTGTTTGCAAATTCACAAGAATCCTCAAAACAAGAACCGAGGACTATGTCACAAGAAGAGAAAGACTTGTCTGCAAATTCACAAGAAAAATCCTTAAAACAAGAACCGAGGACTATGTCACAAGAAGCGAAAGACTTGTTTGTAAGTTCGCGAGAAAAATCCAAGTCCAGCTCACAAGAGGTAGATTATCTGAGCAGCAAGGAGAACAAAGGTATTGTATCCATACCGTACCCCATTCAGCTCTCCCGGGTATCCATCCTTACAACCACTGAAGCTCCTACTAGGGCAACCACAACGGAAATGGCTGAGGATGTTTCCACTTCACTGGAGTCGACAACCATTCGAAAGCGAAGCAGCGTGAGTGATGCGCACGACAGGAACCTCAAAATTACAGTGCCGGTACCCAATGCAAAAGAGTACGACTGGTCCATTGTTTCCAGCACAGCCTCACCACGTCCTCCAAATGAAGGTGATACAACTACCAAAACGCCCATTGTAGTGCGATATTTTGTAAAAATCACTAGAAACCCATTGTTGATAAAAATTCCTGCTGACGAGGCTTATTTCATTAAGAACACTACTCCGATGCCTTTAACTTCTACTACAGAAGCGAGTGCAGGCGACATCATAACGGATGAAGTGACAGAGACCAGTGAAGTTGAGACCACCGAGCTTACGACTGATCAGGATGCACGAGATGCTGTAACAACAGATAGCGCCAAAGAAATTGACACCTTCCCTATCGGCAGAATACCAGATTTTGTACCAATTGGAAATATGGAAGAAATTATGCCTATTTGGAAAGGAGATTTTTTCGAATCGGCAGAAGTGCAAGATCAAGAACAGGAGCTGAAATCTAGCATAACTCCAAAGCTATTTGATGAAACTACGGCAATGGCTACATCTGAAAACGCTAGTGATCCTTTCGATTTCGAAAGCACAACCACTGAAGTGATAAAGACGAGCGAAGCAGAGACCCCAGAGCCTACGACTAGTCAGGAAGAGCCAAGTACCGCAGCTGATGCATCGACAGCAGCTTTGAGCTTGTCGAGCAAATTCTCTGAGACATTTGTGGAAAATGCAACTTCGGAAGAGGACGAACCACTAGGAGTGCCACCACTGGGTTTTTTCTTTCTCAGGACAACCTTGCCACCCAAAGTTGTGACTGATGACGTTGACAGTACGACCATAGCACAAGAGGTGGAAAAGGAAAGCAATAGTAGAAGTGATGATTCTAACGAAGAGGACGTCTTATCTATCGCAAAAGGCAACAATGCAGTCCCTGAAATAAAGAGGACAACTGTCAAATCATCAGACGTAGCGGAAAATATAAATAAGAAATTCTTTAATCAAAGTAGACCAGCGCAAGGACCAGCAAAGCTGCAGCCGTTTCCACCTCCTCAATTATTGGAGTCAAGCAGTGAAGACAAGCTGTCAGGAACGGCAGTTCTTGATGAAGTGCAAGATATCTCAGTGCTAGCCACTCTCCCTCAAGCAGTAGCATCTAGCGCTCCAAAGACACACGTCAAGGAGTCGGTGCCAAGGCGTTTGCAACCATTGCACGAGATGCTTGTTCCAGTTGTTCCATCGGTTTATCCAAAACGTCTCCAAGAGCTTCCGGAAATGCCGCAATCCCTACAGGAGGATCTGTCGCAAAGTTTCTCTTTGGAATCACCTGAGGACGAGATTCCGGATTCCTTGATTGAGCCCACGGCTGCATCCGATATTCCGCAAAATCCTATAGCCAGTTCACAGATTTCCAACAAACACAGCGAATTTGATGGTCAGATATCCGCGACAGCGACGACTCCGTCCGAAGACAAATCGTCAAACTCGCTTGAGCAATCAGTTCCGAGCAAGCCGAAGCAAATGTCTCATGAGCTACAAGAAACTCTGCAGCAATCAATATCACTTCAAAAAAATCGTAAAGCATCAGTAGATAGCAATCCAATTCCTTCTTCATCACTTTCCCAAGAAGTGCCAGAACTTCCCCCGCTTGATACATCTGCTCAGCTGATACAAGATCCGTTGCCAGGATTAACGCCACTATTCGATGCAAAGATGCAGAAACATGCGCCTCTAGCGCCGCCCGTTTTCACCGAAGTCCCTCCTGTGCAGCGTTACACTACGATGAAAGTCGAAACTGTGAAACCAATCCCGCATATTGGTACAACTAAAAAGCTAAGAATTAAGTCACCTTTTATCAAACCTGATCGGTTGCCTGCAGAAGAAGGATTATGGTGGACCCCTCGGCCAAATTTAGTTGACAAGAACGTGCTGGACTCAGCTGTATCGGATATTTTCAAGGAGAGAAAAACCAGACAATTTCAGAAAATGTACAAGGTGAGTTGTTGAAAGAAATTTTTGCTTTTGCAACAACATCGGCAAAATCTCATAAAATGTTCCACTGCATCAGTCAAGTGATCTTACGGTTCTAAACCGACTGAAATGGAGAAATCTACTCATTGTTCTATAACTTCGCTTCTAAACTATGATGTTTACTCTTATCATCATTAAGTAGCCTATACTTCACAGGTTCTTTTGCGGCTAAAGTGAATTCGGGTTATCCTTGCTGCTTAGAAATTTTTGCGAGCAAATCAAAAAAACCATTATTTGAGCCCTCCTTCGAGTGTCAAAATATGCCGACTTTCTAATATTTGATTTTTTATTGCTGTCGCAAACGAAAAAAGCCAATTGGCCAGTGGTTCCTGATTGTTCTCGCTTTACTCTAACATAGGCAATATTGGATGCTTCACCTGCCGCTGAATGTGATTGTTGTCTTGTTGAATAGCTGAGTCTGTCATCTATCTTTGGAAAAAAATTGAAAAAGCAAGACATTGTTTACGTCGGAGAAAAAGTGTGCTTATGTTAGCCGACTACATCCTCACCCATTATAAAATATTACTTTTTTAGTTTTAGAATACTGCGGAAATTCTCTTCATGGAAACTTTTTCTTGGGCATGACTGCACTTTGGAAACTTTGCTTCGGGGCTTGAAATTTCATCACTGGAAAGCTTATTCGCCAAGCATTAGTTAGCACTAGAAAAAGCAGGAAAAATGGTTTTTGATGATGTTTATGACAATGCCATAAGTGCAAAACCCTAAGAAAATAGTTGCGTCAAAATAGGGGAATTGGAAATCGGACAGAACTTTTGAAACAGCCTAATATTATGGCTGACCCTAAGCATGATTACATCACTCTTATTCCATTCACAATTTATCTGACATCATCCGTTATCAACCGGATACGCCTACTTCCTGTCATTCCAGGTGACGAAACGCCCTCCTCCACACCCATATATTCTCACCACGAAGAAAAAAACAAGCGATCCTCCACTCGCACCTCTGACTACATCATCCGCCGTGGGCCAAATGACCCTCACAACTTTGCCACCGATAGAATTTCTTGCGTCGCGTAAACCAGCTCCGTTTGAAGACGTTCGTCGGTACGAAACGGAGCAGCGTATAGCCGAAATGGATGATCTAGAGACAACATCCAGCTCTCCTCCCCCCGTACTTGAGTTACAGCAGCTGCCTGTACCAGCAGATCGACCTATGTTTGGCACTCCTAAGAGAGTAGTACACAGCAAATGGAATAACGATCGAGGCAAGCTGTCGCTTTGAATAATGAATTTCCTCAAAATGGTGGATTTCAGCAGTCCGCAAGCTTTTCAATGTCGCAAACAGAAAACTGACCAGAAAGCCTATAAAGGTCAACGTAAGTGTCCTTTGAGGTTTTAGTGTATTGAAATTCATTGTATTTGCTGAGACCGTTTAGAAAATTCTGAACCATCAATGGGCCTCCTACAAGTTGATTACTGCTTCACCAAAAAAACCTAATTCAATGAAGGAACCAAGTTTGAAAAAGGTATATTTATTCTATAGTGCGCAGCACGTGAGTGAGTTTCTTTATAAGACCCAGACCGATAGAATTTGGAATCAAACATTTTAAGTCAAAAATATCAGTTTAGGGTATTTTAACTTCTATTCTCTTACCTTATACAGGGTATCCCAAAAAATGTGAACACTGTTTGATCGTTTACACAGTCTGCCCCAATCCCAATCAGGCCAAAATTGGCATGGCGGGAGTTCGCGTCGCGTATCCTACGGCCTGCTTGCCTGCCCCCTCTTCGATCTCTTCGCTCTCTCCGACAGTGCGTGTACGCAACGCAAGGCACTGGCGCTGTGTGCGCGCAAATCTAGCGAACAGGTCGACTTGGTATTGATTGGGGCAGACTGTAACTTTTCTGTCATGAAGTCTTTCGAGAAGCTTGAGGCACCCTTCTGTAAGCGAGGTTCCAGACTTACAGTATGGAGCAAATCATCAATCACTTTTCATTACTATAGGATTACGTATGAACTTTCAGCATAGGGCGCCACTGTGGAAACAGGCTTTTGATGAAATTCCAAAAAATCTGGAATTTCGTGTAGCGAGTTTTTTGGGCGTGCCAATTTCTACGCAACTTCCTACCATTTTTTGAGCTATTTTAATGGTGTGATCGCCCTTCTGATGAACATTGGAAAAACAGATTTTACCCTAAACCTGAAATAACTTATAAAAAAATGCAAACGTCATATTTAGAATCAGCGACTTTGACTAGTCCACTTTAAGAGTTTTTGGCGTTTTTGAATTTCCTTCTAAGACAAAAATCGCTTTAAATTTCCAAAAATCCTTCGCAAAGTTCCCAGAATATCATTCTACAGCAATGAAGAACGATTGATGATTCGCTCCATACTGTAAGTCTAAGGGCCGCATGCACTAACATCCCCGCGGGGAGGGGATCACAGCTTAAAAGAAAGCCTCATATCCTGGAGCTCTAGATATCTGCATTTCACGTTGTGTACGTAACCGTAAGTAATCCTACTATCCTTCACTATGAACACATTGAACAGCAGCGAGAAACTGTACAAGCCGCAGTTTCCACCACTTGGATGGTCGCTGATGATCCCCGGCGCTTTTCTTTGAACTCATTTTTCTTTCTTCAAAGTTAAGGAAAAGTTTCCAGAGCTGTGCAGATTATCTAACCCAACACTGCTTAGCATGTTGCTGACAAGAACAAATGATGTATCGGAGTCATGAAATTTGCGATGAACCACAAGTCGAAAGTTGTAGTTTATTAAAAAATTTGATTTTCCAAAAACTCATTCGTTCTCATCAGTGACATGCTTAGCACTGCTGTGTTAGTTAATTAGTACAAATTTGGAAGGTTTTCGTTAACTTTAAAGGACGAAAAATGACTTTGAGGAAAAGCGCCGGGGATCGGCAGGGATCATACAAGAGCTGGAAAATGCGGCTTGTACAGCTTCTCGCTCCTGTTCAATATGTTCATAGTGAAGGATAGTAGGAGTACTTGCGGACAGGTAGACAGCGTAAAATCTCGATATCTGGAGCTTCAGAATGTGAAGCTTTCTTCTAAGATACGATCCCCTCCCCAGCGGGGTTGTTAGTGCATGCGGCCCTAAGTTGAACCCGCTCTACAGAATGGTACCTCAAGTTTCTCGTTAGACTTCATGACAAGAGAGTTATTTACGACCAAAAGTGTTCACATTTTTGGGACACCCTGTACATTTGATCATTTGGTTTATAGTATCGTAGCATTATTGCCTTAACTTTTCATATAATCGTAAATCAGAGACTGCAACGCAAAAAAATTTCAGTATTGATTTTTTGTTTTCCAGCTAACTAAGGACGCCAGGGCTAATGCTGTCGAAGCCAAGATAATCCCTTCAGTGACTAAGTTCAAGCGACAACCTGAAGGTTGGAAATATCTTTTATGTTGACATTTGGATTCTTTTCACTTTTCTTTCCACTAAATCAAAAGTGTTCGAGAGAAGACGATTGGTGTAGTGGGGTGTTCGCTAGGACCAACTTTGTGTGGGCATTGCCCTGTGCAAGGAGAGGTCCCTGCACGGGACATAGTCCATACAGGCGCGGGCGCTAGTCGCGACATACGATTCTGAACTGGTGGTTGAGCTTATGCCAGTTTGGAATTTTGTAACGGAAACGAGTACGCCAGCAGCGTGATCGGACGCATACTCTTCGCAAACGCAGGAAACCCATCATATATTTTCCCTCTTTCCTTTCCAAACTTCGACCACATTTATCGTGCTAACGTACTTGTATGCGCGCTTAGTGATTTTTTTAAAGGTGGTTCCGAACAAGGTAAGGGAGGGAAGTTTGGAATTCTCGCGCATCGCGACCGTCATCGGACATTAGCCCGCGCGCGATGAAAATAATTGCGGCTTTACGCCGGAAAAGAGGGTATTTGTATGTAGATATATCTATTGGAAGAGTCCAACGCCCATACCATACAGATAAGCATCATTTTTGAGAGAGTCGCCTCCAATGCGTTTGACTAATGAGCAATAGCATTCCGTTAGCCATAGCAGCGGGGAAGCCCTTTGAATCAGCAAAAGCAAATTTGGCCGTAGTAGCGGTTAGCGGCAAGAAAGTGTAAAATATGCGAATGCAGCGCACCTTTCTGAATTTTTTGGCAAAAGCATGAAGTTGTAGAGATTGCAAGTCATTTGCGTTAACAGTAGGACTGCTATGAACCTCTTTAATGAAATGACTCTGAAGAAAAGAACTCTTTTCTTCAAGTTTACAAAACCCAAAATGAAAGCCTTCTTTGACTTTCTTGCAACATAAACACAAATAACACCTTTTCACAAGGAATGCTTGCGTTTCGATCAGTGCAGATATAGTTTCCAAATCTTTCTTCAAAAAATATGAGAAATTCCCAGGTTGAAGAAGAAGCGAGTAGCGAAAGAGTGCTTGCTGTATTGCTTGCTATCCAACGTGGAGGAACACTAGCGAGAAAAGGAATGATAGTTTGGAGGGGAATATGTACACTAAAAGATGGTGAAGATGTGAACTGCCAGAAAAAAAACAAAAAATTCAGAGTTTGTTCTAATTCAGGATGGATGTCTATAGGCTCAAATCAAATTGCTGCTCGCTCTGCTTGAAAATCAAAAATGATGCATAAAAAGTATGAACTCGTGCGACCGCAACCACGCTTGGCCACGCTTGCTTTTTGTTCAAAGGCGGGGTAAGAGTTCTTTGCGCAGATCCTTGACTCACTGGGGTGTATGCCAAGAGACGCGATTTTTCTTGCCAGATCGACATTAAATAGCGCATTTTTAGTATTTTATGACGTTCTGGGAGCAATTCAAATTTCTAACAAAATATGCATGAATGTCCCATGGGAAGCTCAATCTTATCATCTTGAAATAAATTCAAAACGTAAGTCTTGGAGGTCAAAATACAAACAATGGCGTTTTCGTGAATATCTCAATCGAGTTTTTACCAAAAGCCGTCAAACTTATCAAATGGTAGCTTCAGATACTTAGTAAGCTAGACATTTTGTCTGGTATTCTTGAAAGACTCGCATAGCTCTAAAGTGAGCTTTTAAGTTGGTGACTTCTAAAAAAATCGCGCCTCTTGACCGTCTCCCGACTTACTAGATACGGCGAAGTGGTGACCAGGGTTGAGCGTGGGGTCAGGCGCGCCCGACCTGGGGGTCGTTTGAGGGTAAGACTGAGGGGGGGGGGGGGTCGTAATTAAGAATCGAATTTGCTAAGTTGGGAAGATACTGCGAAGGTGAAGAAGAAATGCGCTATTCAGTGGATATCGCGATCACATGAAGGAATGACGGTCATAAACAGCATACTGATTGTTCCACAATTGAAGTTTCAGCCAAAATACAATCTTCATCTCTTTTACCTTGACATATGAGGTCGACAAGGAAGTCTGCTGTGTGAAATGGGTATCATTTCTATAACCAGCATGTCAAATTACCTCTATGCGCTCTACAAACCATTACCTACTGCATTTCTAGTATTTCTCAACGTCTAAAAAGCGTGATTTTCAAACGTGATCAACTTGGTTTCAGAAGTGAGAAAAGTCAGCTTTCGTATACTCATAACAAAGTAATGTTCTCTACAAGTCTATGCTACAAATCGGGCTTCATATCGCTTTCAAACATTGAAGCAAACAGTGCCGCCAAAATTCTAACCGGCGCGTTTTTCATGTTGAGTGCTTCAATTCCTCGGATTAGCACAAGGCCGAAACAAGTCGAATCAAGCTCAAACACTTACTGTGGAATCTTCGAGGGTTGAGCTAGCGAATCACGTAAAACTTGGATGAAAAAGCTTCGTCGGAAATAAAGTTAATGGGTCAGGCGCAACCCCTCAAAAGGTCAGGCCGCCTGAGCTTTTGAGGGTTGCGCCTGACTCCATTAACTTGCCTTCAAAATTCAAGAATCGCCCCTTTTTTGATATGAGCATTGAGCGCAAAGCCTCTTCTTGCTGTATTGAAAATTTGGAGCCAAACACTTCACCCCTGTGAAAATTATAGCCCTGAAAAGAGGACTATCCAGATCTAAAAGTTGCCGCCAAGTTGCGTGTGGTTGTGCAATCGCAGAAAGTTCGGCCTACAGCTTTCCAAAATTGAAACCTGCAGTGAAGCTGGTCTTCTTCAAAATATAACACCCTGAGGACTTGGAGGCGAAGCGGAGGGTCGTTTAGGAGCTTTCATAGGGGGGGGGGGGGTCGTTTTTGAAAGACTTGTGCTTGAACTCTTGCTCAACCCTGGTGGTGACTTGGCTCAGTCCTTGTGTGTCGTGCTGCAAAGTCAATAGTACATACAAAAGCACAGCAGTAACCTGTAGGAAGCTGTAGGCAGTAAGTTTGTAGGAAGCTTATAAAACAAAATAAGATTTGAAAAAAACCATCACAATAAAGACACAATAGGAAAAAATGCGAAGAAAACAGCTAAATGCAGCCTGAAGAGTGGAAATGACGCCAAAAATAGCGCACCTCAAATTGCTCGATTTGCCGCGCTTGATTTGGCTGCGTACATTTGAAACCGCGAATCAATCGGAAGTCGCGACGGGTTTATGAATTTCGCCAGCCTTATTTTTAGTATCGCGATTAGCCCGAAGTCGCGACAAAAGCGGGTTTACCGCAGCAGTACTCATATTATCGCGGTACCCTGTTTTGTGGGCGGATCTACTGTGCGAGTTAAAGTTAACCACGAATGTCTGAGTAGGACCGCTTGACGCACCATGTGTGTCAAAGCTTGAATTTTGTTAAGATGACTACTATCCTGGGATAAACACAATCCATGAGCTTTCTTTTGCGCTGAATCTTGGAATGACCCCTACCTTTTTTGACAACCGCTCAGGTCTACCGTAGGTGCACTATAGATGGCAGTATGCGTCATCCTAGTTGAAAAATGTGGACTGATCCGCCAAAGGCCTTGGTCTCAGAAGGCAAACAAAACCAGCATGGTCGTCATTGTGTTAACTAAGTTTTGCAACTCCTTCCGTAACTTTTCCTTCTTTGACCTTGGCGCACTTTTTTACATTATGTAGCTTGTGTGCGGGCTACAAACTGAAATAAACCAATCCCATTTCAATGACAAAATATAGCAAAAATAAAGCCGTTTGCAACCCAGACCACGCACAACGATCCGATATTGTACAAACATTGTTGCCAGAGGTTGTCTTATTTCAGCCAATAAAAAGACGGAATTTGAAGCTAAGTTGAGATCTGGCGCCCTCGCGAACTTGAAAGAGTCGCAGTACGCAAGGCTGCTGAGAGGCAGCCGTCAAGAATCAAAATCGTAGGATCTCAGAATTCCCCGAAACTTGGCATTAGGGGATTTATGACTTGCTGAATACAAGAACCATACTCATTTGTTCGATTAACCTCTCTTTCCATGTTTAGGGCAAGATCCCATACCGTAAACCCACCGTAATTTGCGTGATCAGCTCGGATAACCCCCTATACCAAGTTTTAGTTAAATCTATGATGATCCGAAAATTATTTCCTTATACCGTCTACCGTAACAACCCTCACTACGAAGTCGGAACTCAACAGAGTATTAGCTGCAAGTGTAGCTTGAGAGAGAGCTTATATAATGGCAAAATTTGAGCGTGTCATGCTCGAAAAAATTACAAAACTTAGTTAACAGCCTGATAACACGTTTATTTTGACACCAGACCAATGGGCAATGCTTTTGAGCGGTACTGTCTGGATTGGATGTTTCATTTTCATCGCAATCTATGTCAAAAGGAATTCTATCTGCTGTAGTTTAGATGAGAACGCTTTATAACAAAATGATAATGGTTCAAGTGAACTAGGATTTGTACAGTCGATGTAAGCGATGTGCTCCCTTGCCGATCAGCTCAAACGCAACGCTAGAACCCCGTGCCGCGCTCGCGAGCGTACCGCTTGAGCGTTCAAATCTGCCGCATCGACGCATATCGCTGCGCAATGTTCCACGCGCTGCGGATGAGTAAACACTACGGGAAAGGGAGCATGTGGTTGACATCGATTGTGATTTATCTGACTGCAACATTAATAACTCTCATGTTTCGGAAAAAACGTTTAGTTCTTGGACACTCGGGATTATTACAGTAGAGATGTCGCAAGAAGTTTATATTCTCGCAAACTCCGTTGCCCAGCGTGAAGAAGAACTTGAACTGCTATTTCAATCTTGTTTATTTTTTGAGAGAAGTTAAACAAAATCCAGTCAACTCACAAATTTGCTAGTGGTGAAGCATGATAGAAGATGAAGCTGTGGTATCAGCATTGAACTATTAGTCAGAGGACCAAGTCCGCCTTTGAAGAATTTTTTGGAAGTTGCAAAGGGTTCTTTTTGCATATGACTTAGTTAAAACTTCGTTTTCGACTTATCGCGAATTCGTCATATCATAGACTCTGTCCCAGTCTTGAGACTATATTCGAGCGGAAGGTCGCGAGGGTATGCGCACGTCTACTCTAGCTTGTCTACTCTCTAATCAAGATTTTCGCTCCCTCAAAAGAGCGCATATGCACCGCAAACTCCTAGCGCTGCGAGCCGTGAATTTAGTCAACGGCTCGTCCTGATTTGGGACAGACTGTATGTGATTGTGCGAAGTGTGGGCCGTAATTATTGCTAGAACCGATACAGAAGCTAACGCTGTTCTATTCATCACTCAAGAGCTCTTATGAAATTTGGAACGTTTTCCATAATTTTTCCAATTTGGTGCTAAACCCCCTGAAGATCTGCAAGATGTTCTCGCATATCCAAAAAATCGTGTATTACCCATCCATGGTTACGGGTGAAGCAGTATGTTTTTCCAAATTTCTCGCACTAGATTCTGGAAAACCAAATTGCATTAGGGCATATGGATGTTTTGAGAAATGCGGCATATGCGGCGGCCTCACGGATGTTTGCTGCTCTACTAACCCAAAGCGTTCGAGCGTTCATTAGTTTTAGCAGCGATCCCCGCCATGTGAGATCAGCTAGAAAAATTTTGAATGATAGCTTGCTTGCATCCGCTTGCTTAACCGCTCAGTTCGTGGAACTCTAGCGCGTCTCTGTTCTGACCAAATCAATTTGTCCATTGAGGATATAGCAATGTGAGGAAAAGATATAGAGATGGAAAACGAAAGCAAATTATTTAAACATTTGCTTCTTCGTAATTGTGTATTATACATCATTTTGATATAAGGGACTCTACAAACTGGCACATTACGTTATAGTAATGTACTGAATAAGTAGATAATGTCAGTGCTCAGATTGTTTTGAAAGTGGCTACAATATTGATTGGAAAATGGATTCAAACCACGTCAATAGTTAGGCCTAAAGCATACCTCTCGCGATTTCGCGAAATCGCCACATCCTCGCGACTTGGCGATTCGCCAGATGTCTGCAGAATAAACATGCGCGGGTCTTAGATGCACGGGCGCGTAGATTCCTTAATTTGTAACAAACGTAGCAAGTCTGGCTCAAGCAAAATGCGTTTACGACCAGTTACGAAGAGTCGTTGCAGTGTTAGATCGCGCAGCGACTGAAATCGCGTGAGGTATGCCTTAGGCCTTAGGCAACACTCTTGGTGAAACCTGTTGAACATCTAGGCGTGATGTCAATTTTTTTGACGCATAATGGGAGATTGATGTTCTTTCCTGCGAAGTTGAGGCCAAATATGGCGTAAGGAAAACAGCTGTATACTTAAAAAAAATGGGTTCGGGTAACAAGTAACCAGGACTAGTTACATGTAATCTGAAGAATACCGTGCATTCTTCAGATTTGTTCCCATATGGGCCAGCAACGTGGCTGCCTTTCAATCGTTTTAACATGTTAAAGGCGGCGTCCGGGCAGAAAGTCGATTTTGAGATTTTGCAATTACCCGGGCCTATTGGCTATGCTGAATCCGAAAACCATACTGAAGAGCGCTAAAACGACGAAAAAGGGCTCTCTAGCGCAGAAAGGAAACCAGCAGATGGGCGGGATTTTCCCCACTGTGGATTCAGGCCCCTAGCATCAGAAGCGATCTTGATTCCATTAGCGCCCTGACATTGCCACCAGCCAGGTACGAAAGCGTGACTTGACATCGGAACCATGAAGATTGCTCCGAAAGGTGGGAGCGTAAATTTACAATGGGGAAGACCCCGCCCACCTGCTGATTTCCTTCTGCGTTAGAACCCTTTTCGTCCTTTTCGCGCTCTCGATTGTGGATTTTGGACTCAGCATAGCAAATAGGCCAGGGTAAGCACAAAAGCTCAAAATCAGCTTTCTTCCCGGACACTGCCTTCAACCCCAACAAATTCAAGGCGTTTTTTCGAAGTTGACATGTTAAAATGACCGAAAGACAGCCATATTGATGGTTCATATGGCAATGCAGGGCCATGCGGGGTTTCACTTTACTTATGCTGTCAAAAAACGAAATGTAAGCCTATTAAACTTGTCTATCACTCTGGACTCCGCTAGATTAGCTGCAAGATTACAGATTCATGTTAAGATTCACAGATGTTTAGATTCATAAATTTACTTGAAGTAATGCGATCACATGTCTGTACATCCTTCAGAATTTTTCAAAGTACGCATATTTGCTTTTAGAAAAGTCCAATTTACTTGCAATCTCTATAAAACCATCTTCATCTCCGAAACCTGTAGCCACGGAAGGACCGAAACTGAAAATTACAAGTATGTTTTCTGACGGGTGACATACACTGTGTCTGACTCTTGCGTAAATTGAAAGAATTTAGGACATCCACCATTGGCTCACATAGTAAATCGCGACATGGACGAGCTAGAGTTGGCGCTCAAGCAACTCGCAAAAATGGATGTGAATGTTAGTTTTATTACGATGGAATGTAGTTAAGTCATTGAGTGCATTGTTGCAGCATCAGGAACAAACTTCTTACTTCGGAGACTACAGAGATAGTGTGCATTCAGTTGATGGAGAAACCTCTCGATCTGGACTTACAAAACTCATTCGTCCATTGGTAGGATATCTAGTCGATATCGAAACCTAGTTTCCCATGGCATTCGCATTGGTTTATATGTTAATCCAAGGTTCCGAGAAAAACGCATCCAAAAATTGGAACAGTTCGAGGTCGAGGAATCAAAAAAACCATCAACACAAGTTTCAGTGAGTCTTTTTGTTTTCAAAACATCTGCCAAAAAATAAGGTAATCAGTAAATATGATAAATTATAAGGTATGTACAAGAATTCATCAGCAAGGTGCATCTCTATAGTTATAAGCGTAATTTTTTCAGAGCGAAAAACGTTGATATTTTTCAAATAAATGCAAAAGTAAGCCAATCATGTTGCTTAGGTGCCTGCACAAACAATTGCATGCGGTGCATTGCGCGCAAAAGTATCGACCCAGCAAGGACTCGAACCTTGAATCTTCGGTTTAGGAGACCGACGCCTTATCCATTAGGCCACAGGGCCACGATGCTTCCTGTTTACCAAACTCTTTCAAGCACACCTCTCACACTATCAGTTTTTAGCTGTTAAATTGATGAGTGACGAAAAGTCCAGTTAAAGAACGTTTCAAGGCTTTAAGGAAGAAGTTACTCCTCATATAAGATTTATAGTTACAAAGAAAGATTTTAGAATTTATACCACCTCCTCCACCATCCGATGCAGAAGTCTCCAAAAACATTCACGAACGCTCGTCAACACTGGAAAAGTTAGTCAACACGTATAAGAATGATGAAGAGAGACTGTAAGCATTGAGATTTATCCCATTTGGTTGGGCTACTTTATGACCCTTAACAATTCAGATCAGCATCGAAAAAGCTCTGTGTAAGCATTCAATGTGACTATGAGAAAGGTAACAAGAGATCTTGAGAACCTGCCATAGTTTGGAACGATTTTAGGTGATCTTTGCGGCTTTGACTCCTCACTCAGTGTGTCAATTACGAAGCACAGAAAATCAAAAAGAGCAGTAAGTTTTGCATGCCGGAAATAGCGATACGGATTTTTTTTACGTGTAAAAGTCATAGAAGATGCATATCTTTCAAGCCATGGCTAATAGATGTAACCTTTAATTCGACTGACTTGGCGGCTGATAGGCGGGGCTTTATGACCTAATTGAGGCCGCTCGCGTCCGCGACACAGTCTGCATTCTCTCACGCTCGCGCTCTCTGATCATTACCTAGCCTTAATTAGGTAACGAAGCCCCGCCTTCCAGCCGCCAAGCCAGTTGAATCAAAGTAACAGTGATTCAATGGAAAATTCAAAGTCTTGGTGCAGGGGGAAGGCAGAATCTCTTTTTGAAAAAAACGGGTTTTTAGATTGATTCCGCGTACTTCGATATGAAACGCTGGACAAATTGGCGTGGTTATTATAACGACACCAATAAAAGGATAGATCAAGCACGTAAGTTGTGACTTTCTCGCAATCTCACCTAGAAATATTTTTCAGCTGTGTTTTCTGCTACAAATCGGCGATTTGCTGGTACTCTACTCAATGGTCAGCAAATGGCAACAATGTCGCTAAGGGTAAGCGTCTTCCTTTCCATGTATAGGCCAATGGAATTTACGCGAAAATTCTTCTTAGGTGATCACTATGGAACCCATCACTGTAAATTTTGACGCATGGGAAGCTACACAACAGATGCAGATGCGAGTCTGTTGCGATGGAATTTGCCCACTTTCAAATTACTCGAATCGACCCGTTAACAAAATGTGGCGGCGATACTCAATAAAGTGTCCAAGTAACACTCACATGGTTAGTTCGTTGGTTCCAAATCTTGCTAAGCTACTAACCATTGATTCAACTGGACTGGCGGCTGGAAGGCGGGGCTTTGTGACCTAATTATGGCCGCTCGCGCCCGCGACCCACCTGCTTCTCTCTCGCCCTTGTGCTCTCTGGTCATTCTCCAGCCTTAACTAGGTCACGAAGCCCCGCCTTCCAGCCGCCAATCCCGTTAATTCAAAGGCTACACATTCAGCCTAACATAATCGCTTTATTTTTGCAAATAAAAACTATTGAGTAGTCTTCATTACATTAGTAAACATCCTATCAGTTGCTAGCTAAAATTAAATACGGGATAAAATATTTTGTTTCATTTATTACATGGAGTTACTCCTATGGCAAATCACGTCTTTTATGATCAAGAGAAGAAAGTACCAGTCTGACTTACGAATCTTACTGTTACTAAATATGATTGTGTTGGCCATCAAGAATACCTTAAGAACAAAATTTCGATTGTAGGTCATCTTCGAATGCATGAACTTTGGCAATCGACGAGGAGCTTGCGGTATAGACAACTTCGTTTTGCAAAGCCAAAGCTGTGCATACAAGTCTGCAAAGGATTTCTCATAAGTGAACTAAACTTTCTGTTTCTCGAGATTCTCCGCCTATCTCACAGTACATAGTCTGTAAAGCCTTACTCGCCTAATTTATTTCTTCTGCGTGTCAGACCTGCTTAGTAGTTCTATTTATTTTTGTTTATAGAGTTTGTATTTCACCCAACCGGTCAAATATGCTTTCAACTGCAAGTCTTTCCATTTTTACACCTCATCCCCTTTGTTAGATAGCTTAGTTCAGAGAGTGCTTTTCTTGCCTTCAAAGTCTCGTTATTGATTTACTGTGGAATCAGTGCTCAAATGTGCATATGAGAGTTCTAGTAAAAATTATGATGATACTCAAGACTTTGCTGTTTTATTGAATTGATGCAGCAATAATAAGCGTCCCCCAGGTCCAAGGCATACTTCCCGCGATTCATCAAATCGCTACATCTGCGCGACTTGTGTTTTGCCAGATGTCTACGGATCAACCTTGCGCGAGTACCAAATGCATAGGCGTGTAGCTTTCATAAGGTCCCGCAAAAGTATCAAGTCTGGCCTAAGCAAAGTGCGCTTACGAAAAATCTTGAAGAGTCTGCACTGCCAAACCGCGCAACGGCTGGAATCGCGGGAGGTATGCGTTAGGCCTCAGGCGACAGCCATGTGAATGTCACATTGCATGAAGTATACTATTTGTTACGTCAAAGCAAGCTACAAAATGACTGCCAGATTTCCTCAAAAATTGCGATCTACCTCATGTTATAATCAGGGTTGAGCGTGGGATCAAGCACGCCCGACCTGGGGGTCGTATCGGGGATAAGAGCAAAAGGGGGGGGGGGGTCGTAATCAAGAAGCGAAATTGTTCAAAAAAGTGAGGAAACATTACGATCCACTAAGATGAAAAAGAATAGCGCTCAATCGTGAATTTGTAATTCTACCAGATGAATGACTTTCGCAAACAGCATACTGATTAACTTGACTCGAAGTCTCAGCCAAATTCCAATTCTCCTACCTCACAAATACCGTAAGGTCACCAAAAAACCTTTTTATGTGAATTGGGTATGTTTTTCCGTAATCAGCATGCCAAACCACCTCAACGAGTTCTACAAACCATTACCTATTACATTTTCTAGTGTTTCCTAACGTCTAAAAAGCATGATTTTCAACATGATTAACTTGGTCACAAAAGTAAAAGAAGTCAGTTTTTTATAGTGAAAGCAAAGAATTTCTCTTTATCAGTTTATGGTAGAAATTGGACATCATATCACACTTTCAAATAATGGGCTAAAAGTGCTGCCAGATAGTCACCGCGTTTTCTACCTTGGGTGCTTCAGCTCCGCCTAACCAAGCCAGAAAAGTCGAGGTAAGCTCCAACACGTATCGTAAAATCTTCGAGGTTTATGCTAGCGAGTCATATAAAACTAGTGTGGGAAAGCTTCTTCGGTGATAAAGTTAATCGGGTCATGCGCTACTCCTAAAAAGGTCAGGCTGCCTGAGCTTTGAGAGTTGCGCGTGACCCCATTAACTTGCCTTCAGAATCCAGAAATCGCTCCATTCCTGCTATGAGTATTGAGCTCATAGCTTCTTCTTGCTACAGTGGAAATTTAGAGCCGAACGCCCCACCCCTAGAAAAACTATAGCCCTTTCAATAGGCCCATTCAGATCGAAATCAGCCGTCAAATTACGTGATTGTAAAGTGCAGTCACAGAAAATCGGGCGTACAGTCAAAAATCTAAACTCTCTGGAAAAGGATGATGGCGTCCAGAATGTCACACTCTGAAGTTCCGGAGGTCAAGAGAAGGAAGAAGGGGTCGTTTGAGGGCTTTCATGGAGAAGGGGGGGGGAGTCGTATTCGAAAAACTTGTGCCTGACCTTTTGCTCAACGCTGATTATAACCGAAAATCAGAAAACATTCGATTACCCCTAAAGCCATCTCCTCCAAAGCCAAAAAAAATCTTGCAAACCTCCCACTTGCTCATCATAAAACAGAGACATAGTGAAGTACAATGATGCAGTCCCCGGAATATTTTCGAGGCCAGAAGTCAAAAAAACAAAAATAGCAAAAAATACGAAAATGTCGCCTTTATCCTTTTTTGTGCTAAAGGTTATACTTTTTGATGAAGCACATTGAAGGATAGACTGCATGATTCTACTCCCAAATCTTTGTTGAAGACTGTATATTGTACTTTGGGGAAGTCCAAAAAAAATTTTGAATATTCGAATATTGAATAATATTCGAAAATCGAGCTTTTTGAAGTCACTGGCTTTGGATATAAAGTTAGTATTCAACTATGCCTTTTTCGTACTACCAGTAAACCGTAATAAATGTTTTCAATGTTTCTCAAAAACATGATGAATGTTTCTGGAGAAGTTTTCAAACGCATGTATAACAGTGGCTCTATATGCTAAAAGTTCCTACCGTAATCCCAATAAAACGCTGTTTCTTGCTTTAGATGTAAGCTGAAGCTAGCCCTGAAGAAACTCAAAGGTTAGCAAAAGCTTTCGTAAATGAGATACTAGGGATCAAACAGTGTGGATACTTTTATGACCCTGTACAGGGCCCGGCACGAGTCGGTTTCTAGGTGAAAACGAAGTCTTCCCTGACTTTCGGAAGTTTTACGAAGTCCCCTTTGATTTACCTGCCTAGGAGAAGATAGACACAAGAAAGATTAATACTAGTCTGAAAGAAAGGACGTAAGATAAGAGTGAAAGGCTTTCTTGTCTCTGTGTTTGTGTATTTCTAACACTGATTTTTTTTTCTCTTTCAAGAATCTTTTGGTTACTAACCCGACACTATGGCGCGCCTGTGGCGTATTCAAATAAATAAATAAATAAAATCTAAATTGGAGCTGGATGCTACGCATGCACAAGACTTTGGCATTGGAGCGCATATTTAACAAAGCGAGAAGAAATGAAGGCAAAAACAAAGGAAAGGCAATGATATGGAAACGTCTTCATGCTCAGGGATAGATTTTTGACCGGAGAGAACCCGTCCATGCTAAAAAGATCCGAAACTTATGTGAAGTGACGAAAATATACGCTCCAAACGACCTCAAATCGTCTGGTGGCCGTCTGGACACGGTCTAATTTTGGTAAAGGCATTACTTCACATAAGTTTTCAAATCTTTTTACATAATACTTTCGCAAATAATTTTCTATACATACAGTTGAATTTTGATGTCACATGATTCTGTGTGCGCTGTAAATAAGCAATTTGTTTATTTAAGCCTTGCTTTCATATCGCGCGCACTTTTCGCCATGCACGATAGAGCATGTCAATCGTGTGATAACCTGTCCGAAGAGCTTGTGTCCGACTAAATGACGCTTATTGTGTTCGGTTCCGACTCGTCAAAAACGATATCCCCTTTGCTGTTTGCTTCAAAAACGAAGTCCAGCCTGCTTCCAGACGATCTGTGCCGGGCCCTGACCCTGCTATGGATAACGAATTTTCCATGATTCGATGATCATCGCATTTTCCAGTAGTCATTCTTATCGAATTTTCGATTATTTGGTGCTCATCGAATATTCGAATATTCGATGAATATCTGATCGAATTGGTGACCATCCAATGCTCAACTATCCGATAATATTCGAAAGTTGAAAATTTCGAATACCAGACTTTCGAATAATATTCGAAAATGAAAAATCTCGAATATTCGATCATCAATTTATTCGAAATCTCAAATTTTCGAATAAAGTAATTGCCAATTTTCGTCCATTTACGTCTTTATTACTCCATTCACAGTCTTCAGGGAATTTCAAAAAATAATGTTTGTCTGGCTATACATGCTGAGCAAGTACGAAGTTTGTAGGACTTTCTTGGCTAGGATCCAATTTTTGAGGCACTCGATGTTTATATGTAGACTATAAACTTTCTTCCACCGAGATTTACGCGCATGTCTAATGGTCAATTTGTAGAGCATGCCTTTTTTTTATAAATTAATGTCTCATGCTTTCTATATACACAGTGTTGCTGTAGGAAACGCTAATTACTTTTGCACCTGATGAAATCGAGACGAGTTCTCCGAATAGACCAGTATTTCATCTAGCTGAGCATCAGAAAGTTCTGTTAGATATCACGGAGTGCTGATAGAGTGTTTTTGCGGTGTCAACAGATAAACAAGAAAAATGTCATGTTGGTGAAGCCGCAGACTGCCACCGATCGAACCCCCAAAATTTAGATCATCTAATGATTATTATCAATGTGACAGCGCATAAATGGTAAAGTAACGCTAGCAAAAAAATCACACCATACCATCTTTATTATTGCACACATTTACAATTCAATCTTCAGACTTACCATCACAGTAATTCGCTTCTGAAGGCACATAAAATTCACGGAAGAAGAATGTACACATTTTCTTGGAAACTGCTTTAACGAACCGTAATAACTGTAATACTTAAGTTATTGAGAACAAATCTTAAGTGACAAAGAGCATTAGACCACAACTAAATAGAGATAAAGCATGGATGATAAGTTCGAATTGAATGTGGAGTGTTCAGGAGGACAAACATAACATAAAGAAACAGAAAAATCTGTGGAATTGAAAACAAGAACATAATGTACAACTCAGTAGATAACGTCCTCTTTAGCGTCGTCGCGCTGTGATAACCTTCTATAGCGAACATTTCGTCTTGTGCGTCCAGATCGTCCCTCAAACATCAGACCTGAAATGATCAATTTTGAATGTGAATGCCGGTCAAATAGCATGAGATTAGTCACCGAAAGTCACTTACCCAATATTTTCTTCTTGTTGTGGTGTATAAGGTAGAGGCAGAACACGACTACTCCTGCGATGATGAAGAATACCATGAAATGTGAATCTTCTGACTGATCAAAATCGATTTTTGTCGCAATCTGAAATTAATGCGCGCGCTCCTATGAGAAAAAATCACTTTCTCACACCAGCGTTCAATTACCTTATTGGGAGGAGGAGGTAACACATTGCCTTTCGCATCTTCAACCATAGCCCCAAGCTGATTCTCTTCTTTTTCTTTACCTTTCGCAGGTTCTGTATCTTCTTTGGCTACCCCTTCACCGGCAGCTACGTCGTCCGCCGGTGGTGCTGCGTTGGCTCCTTCGTCAACGTGTGCATCAGGGTCCTAACCGAATGTTCAGTATTACTGCGCAACACAGGTGCTACTCCAATATACCGATTAGGCACACACCATAGTCCACTCAGTCCCCTTGATCCACTTCAGTAAAACGCGCCGTGAGTTATTTGTCATTTAGTGCCGCTTAATGCGAATTTGCGCAGGAGTACAAATCTTTTGTACCTGCACACTAAACGACAAATTACTCGCGGCAAATGGATCAAGCGAATCAAGTGGATCAAGTAGATCAAGCGGATTAAGTGTATCAACTATGGCGTGTCCTTAGTCCTAAATATGACTATGGGATATCATCCGACATCACGGTCACAAATCTACAAATTCGCAGAAAGGTAATAATAAGTTGGGCTTAAAAGCACAAAACGTCACACTTTACTCAAAACCTTAATGATGTTCTAAAGCGTGAGATGCCCAGCCACAAAAACCGAGGAAGGAAGTACACACTCAGCTAGAATTTTAAGTCATCTATTTGTGCTTACAAAAGATGCAGAGTTGGTTTACCCGGACGAAATGCATCTTAACGCATCACAATCCGCTGATTTTAACTGTGTTTGAATGGCAAACATTAGTCCAAACGACAAGACATTCTCGAAGCAATCCCCAAAATTTCCTGGAAGGCAAAGACCATCAACTTTATCGTACCCTTCTTGCCAATAGTACACCTCACATTATTAAAAATAGGTTTAGCTATCTACTGAAAAATCCAATCCCTTCCCTCAGATGGGGCAGGCGTCCGCGCCAATCCGCCTTTCGGTCAATCTACTCAATATCCGCGCGGGGAGGAGAGAAAATAAAATTCAAGTAACCAAATCACCACCAAATCAAACAAATCAGCACCGTGACCGTTATGCCAGATGACCCAGATAAAGCTCTACTGAATCAAAATGGGACGGTATACACGGATAGCACCTGACAAATGAAGCTGTTCAACGCCAATCGCGAAACAAGACGCACACGTTGTATGGGAAACTACAAGTTCGACCTGCGTCATTATATACATGATGAATCTACTATCTATAAGTCCATGTTGGCGTGCAATGGGTAGAGCCCTTTTCATCAATTTGAGCTAGGCATAAGAAGGAAGGCGGAATCCCCGGCGGGGATGTTATCATGTGGCCCTTAGCTGTACCCTCCCCTCCCCTCCCCAAATCAGTTCACATTAAAGCCGAATATGCCTTTGCTTCGACAGTACATCTGACAAGGGAGGTCGGATCAGTCGAAGTGGCCTTTTCAAATGGATCATATACTATTTTGAAGAGCGTTAAACGCTGATTCCGAATCTTTCTTCGTTATCTGCCGAGCGCCTCTGGACGCCGAGTTATAAATGTTTTTTGGAGCGAAAAATGAATGCAGAATTCAAGTAAAATTGACTATTACGGACTTTTCAGCGCCTAAATAGAGCAACATGTTGTATGAGTGTTTTGGGCAAAAGGTATCCTTTGAAATGGGGTGCTCTGGTAACCAACATTGGACCATTTGAGCAATTCTGACGAATTTTGCCCTAATTACGCATTCAATTTTTTAACCTAAAGCACGCTCATAACTCGGCGTCCAAAGGCGCTCGGCAGATAGCGAAGACAGATTCGGAATCAGCGTCCTAAGCTCTATAAGACAGTATACATTTCAAGATGAAATGCCACTTCGACCATGTATCCTTCCCTTGTGAGGGTGGTCTTCATCCATACTGAAAAACTGCCATAATCCCACACTAGCTAATGAATGGATCTAAAATTTATAGCGAGCATGCCAAACCATTCCGTGGAGTTTCAATAATATCCAAAAACTTCTTATTACTATTTATCTTCCATACCTCGAAAAAAGCCCTACCATGCAAAACGAATGGCATTTGTCGTGTCGAATAAGCTTTGCGTGCAAAATTTTAGCAATCTAAGATTATTTGGGCTATGTATCAAATAGCGCCTAGAAATGCCTTTCTCAAGCGAACAAAGACAACAGACAGAAATCAACTTCTATCTTAATATAAGCTATGCATGATATCTTGCAGTTATCAAGAAGCTGTGAAAAAATGACAGACGACAACTGTTTTTCCCTCTTATAGATTAAAATTTGGAATGTAAACTGTCTAACGTGCCGTCCATACATCACGCGATTTCATCGCCTCCCGATTCTCCCAAAGACAGCTGTTATTAGCTCATTGCATGCTAATCATCATGCATTTCCGTTGTGTTAGTACTTCTAAACGACAAATCGCGATTAACCATCACAACCAAAATGCAGGATGATCGGCATGCAATGGACTCGTAGTTGTCTTGTTGGGAAAATCGCAAGACGATAAATTGCATGATGTATGCCCCCTAAGGCCTAAGGCATACCTCTCGCGATTTCGCGAAATCGCCACATCCTCGCGACTTGGCGATTTGCCAGATGTCTAGAGATTAAGCATGCGAGGCTCTCATATGCATGGGCGCGTAGATTCCATAAATTGTAACAAACACAGCAAGTCTGACCCAAGCGAAGTGCGTTTACGACCAGCTATGGAGAGTCGTTGCGCGCCAAATCGCGCGGCGACTAAAATCGCGTGAGGTATGCCTTAGGCCTAAGACGATGTTAAGCCATAGACTGAGCGAGCATGACATGCAAACACAAGGACTACTTTCGTGCATCCACCACCATTCCATCAACAACTCACAAACCTCTTCACCCTTTCCACCCTCATCTTGTTCGTTACGATCTTCAAACTCAGGAGCAGCAGCTTTTGGAGCGGAATCGCTCTGTGGATGAATGAAGATACTCAACTCTCCAGTCTTCCAGCATATAGTGATATGAATTCAAAAGTGATTTGCTTGCTTACCTCCGTGGATTTCCTTGTGCTCACTGTAGGTTTTGTACTCTTGACAAGTTCCAAAGAAGTTTTGCTTTGACTCGTACTTTTCCCAACCACAGTCGCTGCCTCGGATTCTAAAAGATCTTATTTTAATTTTCAGCCAGATCATAGGAAGCAATACACGTACTGTTCGAAAATGTGGAGTTTGTTGCAGTTAAGGGGCTTGTTGCTTGCAACGATGGAAGCTTCTTATCCACTCGGGAAGTACGGGAGCTACCTTCTTTTTGCACTTGCAAAGGGGGTGGAATTTCCTCCACAGAATTGACAGCCGATGCTATATTGGTAAAATCACCAAGCAAGAATTGTGCCATAAATAAAGACAATTGGAGAATCATAAATTGATTCGTAGGAAGCCCACATGAGAAAAGATTAGGCCTGTCTTTTTCTAGCTACTTAAAAAGTAGAGAGAATGCAAACACATACCCAGATGTAAATAGCCACAAGCACAAGCGATAAAAATTATCCGCACACGGAAGTCCATTCAACGTCGAAACAGGTCTGAAAGTACCAATGTAGGTGATACTCATCCTACCTTTTGTTTCACTGGGAGTGGCGGGTAGAAGGCGGGGATTCGTTCGAATCAAACCTATAAGATTAGAGAGAGCACGCTTGCTGAAGAGATGCAGCCTTAAATAATTCTAGAAGCTCCGCTCTTTACCCGCCACTTCCAATGAGACAGAGAGTATACAGCAACTTTTCTTGGTGAGCTCTGAACTTTCAATGGAATATCAAAGTAAAGTCACCTCCTAAGTTACGATGTCAACTCATATTTCAAAATGAAAATAGCAAATCTACGAAACACAAGTGTATGGTTTTCCCACACTCGATTTCCACCTATAAAACGTGGCAACTTCTGCGCGTGGCTCTCTTCGTATAAACATGACGGTGATCACATTGCCCTGTACTGCCAACATCCGCGGGAACAATTTCTTGTACGACGTATCGGTGGTTCCTAGGGTTTATAGTAACCTGAGGCGAGATAGCGCCTCTTGAAGTGCGTTATACAGAACACAAAAACGCTTTACTGAGTCAGACAACGTGCACTTATAAGTACAGTGGTAGTATGCTGACGATAACAGGCGGAGCAAAGTAACTGACGTGCATCTGGGCAATAAACACACTCATATCAGAGAGGTCATGCTTATGGCGTGACCTTACGCTAATCTGGCGAAGTGATGGTACTGCTGTCAGAGAGTGACGACAATGTCGGCATATACAAGATGTCAGCAAAGTGGAATTTGGGGGATACGCTTCCTACGGCTATTTCCCACGCGCAAATTCCTGCCATTACATGTAGGGATCGATATGCTCACGTTCAAGGTTGGCACACTGTTTCTATCGTCAGATCTGCTAGCCTTCAGGTGCTCTTTGCCATTATCAAGCGCAAGGTCTTGGCGTAAAAAACAGAAGTTTCCGCGCGAACGTCTGCACCACGAGCCATTCTGTTAATGTGAAATTGAACTGTGAATTCAGAAGATATTTTTCACATTAGTCTAACATCACCTAATTATCACAAGATATCTTGTCAAAATTAATTGTGATTCTCCTTCTCCTTCTTTCTATGGCTCACAGTAATTTTTCACACATTATGTATCGGAATAATCATGGGCGAAGACCCCTTAGGACCTTAGGACAATAACTTCAAAATAAGTTTATTTATCAAGGACCATCCAAAGGTATAAACGTTATTACTATGTACAGATACAAGCGCCAATTACTAACTGACATCATAACATATCTACTCATTACAATAATGTTTACAACAGAGATCAGCACCTATACGTGCAGCAAGTAAATTACTGCAAGTAATCTGCTAAACAGGAAAAAATAAGGTTAATCACAAGAAAGGGTACATGACAGACCGAAGTGATAGCATTATTATACATATAACGAGGTCATTAAGAAAGAATGAGCCCATTTGATGACCGACAAACAAGAAACAATTGTAAAAGACGTTCAAGGACTTACGTTATATATTAGAGTAATTTTACAGAGATGACAAAATAGAGGACTGGGTCGTGAAAATGGGATTTTCGCATGAAGTTCGGCCTATTGCGCATTGCAAGGCCTAAGCTCGAATAAACAAATGGAGCCTATAAACCGAGAACAGAGTTGTAGCATGGAGATCCGTCACGTGTGCAGCCAAGAACGAAAGTTAGAGAAAAGCAATGATATCTTTGCCTCACTATAAAAGTGGAAAGAACTAAATAAAAAAGACAACTAAATTACAAAAACAACGTTCACATGGAAAGGCGGTAAACTTTTCTTTATGACTACTTGGCACGAACACCTTCAATGTTCATAATTTATGAGCCTAACATCGCAGCAGGGAATAAGAACAGAACATTTCTGCTAATGCTTGCTTCAAACTTTCCAGGACTCCATAGGAGTTTCCCACAATAGACAGACGGAAAAAAAAAACTGCTGGCTCGGGCATATTTTGGAGTGCGACTATATAACCTTTATGAGAACGGCTTCCACCTTGTGGTAGGCCCGTAAGTTGAAAATGACAAGAAAGTATTTGGAGCAAATAAGAACTAAACAAACTCGTTCTGGCAGAACCGTAAGGAAGAACAATACTATTAACCAAAAAAGTAATTTAGAATGGTGGTGATAAGAATATCAACGAATAAATAATGTAAATGAAATGAGAACATTCCTACAAGCGCACAAATCATAAGTGATACAATCTAACAAAGCAAACATTTTTTTATAGCTCTACTCACTATTTGGATTTTTGCGATATTTTCGTAGTCTTTTGTACATGCAACCGTAATGTAGACGAGCTTTGCGATTGCGTCTCCGTAGAGCTGTGCGCAGTGTAGGCAACTCAGTACTTGTCGGCACACGACGAACAGGAAGATCTCGATACATGTTCACTCCAAGACGCAGCAGCTAAAACCCGAAGATAAAGGACATTAAATGAAAATCATTGAATCTGGTGACATTGCAGCTGTTGAGAACTTCGATTCTCATTTCTATTTTACAGAAAGCCTATATGGAGTGCGCAAGCAGTGGGCCTGAGGAGAGGAGGGAGGTTGAGAGCAACTACTATGCCGAAAGTTTTGACGGCAGCCTCCTTCTTCTTGCGCTGAGGTGCAAATGCCTGAGCTCGCTTTTGTTATCAAGGCTTCGTCATTGGCAAAGAGTTTCATGCGAAAAAACAGCATTTTAGATTACCAATGCTAGAATAAGAAATCAACCCCTACGTAAGCCGTGTCAAATTTATATCACAAGCTGGATGAAATGGCGCTGTCACTACCCAATGCAATATTGCTAAGATAATGCGAAGAATTTCTATTATCCGATATGATAATGCTTTTGATCAACTAAGAAAGTTGATTGAAAAAACCAGAAGAAACCATATGAAGACTTACGTCAGTATCGGCATCATCCAACTGTCTGGCTGTCTCCCAGTAAGCGAAATCTCCACGGACTTTACTCCAACAATGGGATATAACCCCTCGCAACCGTGGCTCTAACTCTTGCAATTCCATCTGGCAACGTAGAAGCTCCTCCGAGACTTCGTCCTACAAGGAAAAAAGCAATAGATGCATGCGTGGATGGAGCTCTTATTTTCTAGTTATGAAAACTATACAAGTATTTGTGCCCAACGCCAAGAAGTACTGAAATTGCAGCTTAAGCTACAGATTCCGGGGACTTGATGGAGACTGGTCCACTTTAATTCCCTAAAACCAATGAAAAAGAACGGCGACACAATGGCCCAAATCTGGGCAGACAAGTTCTTCGCGCAGAACTGATGGAGTAGTTTTGAGTGAAGCATTGCACAATCGCGAACACGATTGAATCATCCAAGGCTGCTACCTCAAAACAAACTGCAGCTTGAGACTACCATAAACCGGATCTAGCAGACGGACTGCGTTATGTTGCTTTCGCGCGACGACATGCAAGCATGATGCGAATTGCCCGCCAGATATGAAGATATTGTTTCAGTTCTAATGAGGCAAAAATGGAATATTACTGCTCAAATATGAGATACTAGCTGGCTTACCCGGCTCCGCCGTATCCGGACCAAACTTGGCACACATACACTTCGGGCCCCGGCGGGTGTCACAGTCCACTTTTCGTTATCGATCGACGTCGATTTTACCGATTTTTATCGATTTTTTTGCAGAGTTCATCTACAGGGCTAGGAGTTGGCACAGGGGGGGAAGTGAGCATGGGGATTCCGAATACAATATTAGTTTTCAGAATTATCGATTACTTTTATTGGTTTTATCGATTTTTTGTAAATTTTGACATGCGAGGCTGGGATTTTGCACAGGGGGTAATCGAGCATGTTGATTACGAACACAATATTAGTTTTCAGGATCGTCCATTACTTTTATCGATTTTATCGATTTTTTTGTAAAGTTTGACCTGCGAGGCTGGGAGTTTGCACAGGGGGTAATCGAGCATGCAGATTACGAATATAATATTAGTTTTCAAGATCGTCCATTACTTTTATCGATTTTATCGATTTTTTGAAAATTTGAGCTAGGGGGCTGGAATTTGGCACAGGGGTGTAATCGAACATGCTGATCACCCCCCTTGGGGGTGATCAGCATGCTCGATTACCCCCCTGTGCCAACTCCCAGCCTCCTAGCTCAAACTTTGCAAAAAAATCGATAAAATCGATAAAAGTAATCGATAATCCTGAAAACCAATATTGTATTCGGAATCCCCATGCTCGATTACCCCCCTGTGCCAACTCCCAGCCCCGTAGCTCAAACTTTGCAAAAAAATCGATAAAATCGATAAAAGTAATCGATAATCCTGAAAACCAATATTGTATTCGGAATCCCCATGCTCGATTACCCCCCTGTGCCAACTCCCAGCCCCGTAGGTGGACTCAGCAAAAAAATCGATAAAAATCGATAAAATCGATATCGATCGATGACGAAAAGTAGCCTATGACACCCGCCGGGGCCCGAAGTGTATGTGTGCCAAGTTTGGTCCGGATCGGTTCAGAAATGGAATTTTCTATTCGGAACATACGTACACACAGACAGACAGACATACAGACATACAGACAGACAAACAGACATTCAGCTTTATATATAAGATTCAAATTTAAGTCAATGCTAATTCACAGATGTTGGGGCGACAGACGGTACCTATATACGAACACTTCTGCAACCAGCAACTCCATATTTACATTATTTTGAACTTTCTCTCTCCCAGATATATTTTTTTATAAAAAGTGCAATCATGGGTCATAACACCAGCACATATTTCAAACGCCATATATTGAATCATACGCCAAGTAAATGCAATATTTCTTGAAAGAAAAAATTCAATGAGAACGCACCAGATCTGATTCATCGTCATCTTCTTTTCCTTCGTGACTCACAGCTAGATCACGTTCCACTGAGCCCGTTGCGATTTCACGATAAACGTGTTCAGTTGATGATGGTATCAAACCTAATAGAAAACATTTGAATCGATATGAAAAGAAAGACAAGACAAACCTCTTTCAACCAGCATCTTAACAATGCGGCTACCAATTTCTCGGTAATGCCTTTCAATCTCACTCTCTTCGGAAACATTAGACTGCGCAGATGATGAAGGCGACAGAAGTTTTGACGGTGAGTTTCTGTGAACACCATTCTCCCGTTTCGTCTGAACAGCGAAATAGTTGGAGAGCCAGACAAATAAAAAATCAATTACCTCTCCATTGCGTCTTAGCTTCCCTTTATGCTCTCCATTGTACCTTCCATTAGGGGGATTGGACGAGCAACTGGGACCGGGAGCATCCCAATCTTCTTCTTCCCTGGATTCTTTCTTGATACGAGGTGAACACACTGCAAATACACCGAAGGTGCAACCAAACATCGTTAGAAATAAACAAGTTATAAATATTAGAAAAAACTCAAAGTAAAAGAATGTGAACTACTGACACCGAGAACTCATCGGCGAACGTGACAAGAAGCCATTAGAATGCACGTCAACAGACATTCCCTCATCCTTGCTCTGATCCTGTCCACCAACAAGTCCGCCGAGATCAGACGGTTCGCTTTTGATGGAAACTGAATGAAGCAAATGAGAAATACAAAGCCATCCCTCTCAATTCTGCTTATGAAGTGAACAAATTCTAACACCAACTTTTTCTTTCCACTTCGCCATCATCACGAGAGTGGAGCCGTAAGGAAAGACGCCGAGAAGGAGGTGTTGTGAAATCATCTTTCCGCAAAGTTTCTCGACTAGCCGCCGACACAACATCGCTTATAAGCGGTGCCAATTTGGTATCGGGTATACGAGGAGTGCGCATGGATGACAGAGAGGCTCTATGATCAGATAAGCGATAGCAAGAAGCTGCTAATATTATGAAAATTTTATACCTCTTTTCATCCTTCTCTTTCCTCGGCTCTGTCTTCTTCTCGAACGGAGTGGTGTCTAAGCTAGACTTCCTTCTCGTCCGTACACTGGCTGTATCACCAGAAGCAATTCGTGATCGCTGACGTTTGCGATATTTCCACGGTTCTAAATGATCTGCTTGAGCTCAAAATGACATGATGCAGTGTCTTAGATAGTACTGAAAGCAAATCATTCCTTCTGTGTTAGAAATGACTAAAAAACTTCACGTTGTGATCGAGAGTTGAGGGAGGATGAGTGTGCTATGAAGATAGTGAAGAAAATGCAGATAAATGCAGACTCAGCCATTGGCTATAATTTATTAATGATGCTCCATGACTACCATTCAATGTGCACGAAACTCGCTGCGCGCAGAATATTTATTCAGCTTGAAAGGATTTGACTGAATTTATATTTTGGCTAAATGACATGTCATGTGCGGAAGAGAACAATTCGATGCACATCAGAAGTCCACAGAATCAAGGTGTATTGAGACATGATGAAGAAAGCCAATAAAATACTCACCATTAACGTAGTACTGTTTGAGTTTCTCGGCGCTATACTTATCCAGCAGATGCTCTTTGAAACTTCTGAGGTAATCAGCATCGATGGGAGTCAAAAAATCAGCCTGAAAAGCATGATATGGCAAACAAATATGGCAATGAAACGGAGAGCGATGAAACCAACCTTGCACCATGTCCAAAACCTCTGCGGTATATGGGGCGGAGGCCAGATATCTACATTATCTTCGGTGTCATCTTCAGGAAGACCGCAGAGACTAAAACGAATATGAATGTTACCAAGAAATGAGTCGGCACCGCAAGACTTCTAATCTACTGGTAATGCAAATGAAGTTGCTAATAGAGGGAGTAAGAACTCTCATCCCTTTTGATCGACCACGCTGAAACTCACGTCTCTTGTATCTCTTGAGCAGTGGAGGACGACAACGGAAGAGCTTCGCGAAGTTTGTATGATGGCATGGGCCTTCAGAATGCAATAATGAATTTGCTATATAACACAGATAAACATGAGTAATTTACCTAGTTCTAAGATCTTGGACAGGATACTCGCCAGTGTTGAGGTAGATTACTTCGCCATGGGCTCTTCTCAGGTAGTCAGCCGAGTGAGCCAACATCTTTTCCAGCTCATGCTGCAGGAGGAGCTATAAAACGCAACAGATTACTCTGGTGCACTTTATCCTATCTACCCCCTCTACAATGTATCAATTTTTTCAGGCATAGGTCAGAGCGGAGAGGAGGGCGGAGGGGGGGGGAGAACAGTCCCGAAAGTGCAACACAATGGACCTAGTCGGTGACCTTGCGGATGCACGTGCACTTTACGCGAAGCAAGTGCAACTTTGCGAACGTACGAGTAGCAGAAGTAGTGGGATCTAGTTTGAAAGATGCACAAGTACAGAATCTGGCATGCACTGTAAACCGCACATGTACTACATATTCAAAAAGAGCACTCAAAAGTTTTGGGCAAGCTTAACGCAGGGATCTAAAGCGACGTGGTGCGCAAAGATCGAGCGCCGCCGCGAACAACGTCGGCGTTTCTCTGATCAAGCCCACTTTCGCTCCTCTTACGTTTGCTATCACTCCCAAATATGCATCCTACTAGTCGTACGTAACGGCATACAGTCTTGCGTGCAATGACCCGCCTAAGGTTATGAAAAACCAATGAAGTCAGGAAACAAAAAAATGCAGCATAGAGAGTTTAATCTAAGAAGAAGCTCTGCAACTATAATAAAACGAATGCGTATAACATATTAATGTACTGTATTGCAAAAAACAACAAGATGCTTTGAATTCCAAGAAAATCCTTTCCAATGCACAGCTAGCAAATGCTAAAACTAATGCAAGCAGGCTAAGACATTCTGGGAGCGGGAATCCCTCAAATTGATGGCAGCTTCATATGTGAACAGTGAATATTTAATTGCGCGTTTTGGACTCCCAAAAGTACAAAGCCTGATTGTCCAACAACAATTCTGTTTACATTCATTTATTCAAACTTATGTACTAGACGACCTGTGTGGGGCATCAATGAGGATTTTTCATCAAAATGGAGCAGCTAGCTATAAAGAATTTACAATAAATCCACGCAAGGCTCTCGTGGGGCGCTATGGAAGAGCATAGTCATCTTCCAGCTTACCGAAAAAGTGACGGACAAGTTAACAACATAAAAATCGAAAAGTCTTTGCAGACCGTACACGACCCCATTAGGTTTAGCCTAACCTACTATCGACTTCCAAGGAAAAATCATCCAATGCCTGGAATCTGTATCAAGGTTCAAACATCGTCTAATCATCCGGCTAGCTAAATTCGCGCTAGAACATATTTGAAGCAGATAAATCTGTTCAAACCAAAGATGACAGCGAAGTATAGTTCAAGTAATTTCACGTTTTGATCCATGCTTTCCAATGCTCTTATCCATCTCTCATCCAGCTCTTATCCATCCCATGCCCAAACTTAACAAACCGGATCAAACTGCCGCAGGGTTGCAACTGCACCAAATTCAACACACATGAAAGCTTCTTTTCAACAGGGGCTCTTGCTGATTTTCAGTAGAAACTCGCCAGAAGCATAACATGAAATCCACATTACCAAGGCAACTGCAAGTAGTAGACGGAGTTTTTAACCAGTCTGGCTACAAACTTCGCTGTTTCGCCTTGGCTAGCTGCACCAAAGGTGCAACTGCAGCTTACATAGGAATAGAAACGGTAAGAGTTGATGAAAACCATATCTCAAGAAGTACCAAAACATTTAGAGGATAAAACAACAACTGTAACCCACCAAATCATCCTTCTCAAGATGAAAATCCTCAGCATTCTTTCCAAGCAGGTCACAAAACTTCGCACAATGTTTTTCGTATGGGAATGGTATAAATTCTGGAGGCGGCTTGACATCCTCACTGCTATTGGAAGACTTGCGACGAATCGGTGTCAGCGAGTCTGGAACTTAACGAGATTATTGACGAATAACAAGGACAAGTTTCAGAATGAATATCAGCAGGAATTTGAGTTTCTCTAGAGTTTCTCCACAGTAATCATCATTCACAAGCGGAGATGCCTACCATTACCACGCAATTTGAGGGGAGCATCGTGCTTCAAAGCACCCAAGCAAATGACAAGAAATTTTTGATAAATGATGCAAAAAATAGCTTTATCAGAAGCAACACATCGAAGAAATAATGTTGAGAACTTTGAAATATTATTTGAGCTCATATATGGAAAAGTCTACCTAGCAGAAGGACATATCACAAGAAAAAGTTACTTGACAGACATTTCCCAAGAACCATTTGGTATGACCGACAGCGACCAATGTGAGGAACATAGAGAACATGTCGACGAACCGTAAACCTGACTAACATGACGAAACTGGGCTAGGCATGCGCCATCAAGTTTGAACTCGAATGAACCCGTCAATATAGGTAGAAAGTCCGTAAAAATGCGAAAAGGAGAGAGCCAAAGGCATTATAAAGCAGCAAACTAGCGTATGGCAAAACGGAAAAGCGAAAAACTAACCTAATCTCTTTCTTTTCGGACGTGGCGATTTGAGCGTTGTTTCCACACTTGCGGGTGAGAATGTTGAGCGCCTTTTCGGTTTCATCTGTAAAGGACCTCATTTAACAACATATTACCATTTTTATCACAGTTTTGTCGGTGAATTTCGTTAAAATTGGGCTAAACACTACGAAAACGATGGGGAAAGAGCGGAGCGCGGCGTGACTGCAGTGCCAGTCGGCCTCGGGGACGCTGCAACGCGGCACATACACACACCACAGCGAAACTATCGATCGATTCGCACCATTCAGTCGGATGAATGAATGAATAGTGCATAAGTAGCGCAATTTTAATCAGGGCCATTTCTATCCCATCACTCACCTCCCCGATATAGTTCGTCTCCATTTCAGCTCAAAATTCAGCATCATCAATGCCTGTTTTAGCGGCAGTCTTCGAGCAACGAACTTTTATTAAAGGACGCCTGCGTTTCCATTTTCCTTTAAAATACTTCGTTTCAGGAACCAAATCGCGCAAATTTGCGCCGTTTTCAAAACCGTATTTCCACCTGGCTTTTCGCAGCTGTTTCGTTTTCTTACTTTTCACTGTTTTCGTCTATTCTTTTGGACATATCCGGTGGATAATTCATCATTTTGCGTTCGTGCCCGTCTTTCTGGGGTAGCTGTATTCTTGCGCAACAATTGGGCCCCTAATCTCCTGCATTCTCAATGTTTCTGTATTTTTCTAGAGCTTGAAAACTCAAAAGCGTCATACTACTATTCTTCTGCAGTTACAACCCTTTGTTTTCGGTCGTCAAGACTATGTTGTTGCTTAAGAAATCCAGTTTGAATTCTTTTTTCTTTTTTGTTCTTCATAGGAAACCTTTTTACACACAACACTTTTGTTTTTACCTCAGCTGTTTGTGTGTTTTCATAGTAGGTTCTCACTTTTTTGTACTCTTTTTTATCCTTTTTGTCAACTCAATATCATAGCTTACTTAAATCGCTCTCTACATTCTTGCAACAGTTATCTCTCAACAATATCTCCTCAGTTCTTATAGCCTCATTTGTAATGTCTTTCAAAACCTTGAATCGCTTGTTATTTTCTTTGTGCCAAAACTGCCTTCCAAGTCTCTTCGCAGATTTAGACATCTCATAATTTCTAATGTGTTTGCAGATAACGAACATTTTTTAGTTTCTTTTTTGTTTTTTGGAATACCGTTCATCATAATGTCCTTACCTATTTTCGCTGCAATACTCCACAAAGTATTGTAATGTCCAACATACAAACCTCATATTTTTTGTTCAATTCTATGTCCCTTTCATTTGTTTGAGCATTATCATTAGCATCCAGCATTTGAGCACTGAGCACGTCCCGGGATGCAATCTTGCATGCTAATTTATTGTATCTTACTGTACAAAGTGAAACCGTCTTTACTAATTGTAAGTTTGATCACGGAAAAATAATAAGGCTCGATAATTTTGACAACTCACCATCAGCCATCCCAGAGCGCACGTCACATGAAGTTTTCATTTTGATCTACCGCACCATCCCCTCTTTCATACTTTCTGCTATATAAAGAGCTGCAAGCTAAGTTTCTATCTTCATTGTTGATTGCTAAGAAAAGTCGATCTATCTGTTCTTTTTTGAATGATTGATGCATATGCTTGAAACTATTGAGATCGAGAAAGATGAGTTAAAGTAAACCATCTTCTCATCCATAGTTTTCTGCTGGACATACTCATATCATCTATCTCTAATTTTTCATAAAGGGAAATCTACCCGCGAATTTCAGATGGAGGTGGTAGAGCGAATGAAAGGCAAGCGTGTTGTAAAACCCATCGTTTACGGCAACACGGCCACTCCATTTGGTTATAAGAGGGAATCGGATCAGCACACGCATCAATGGACCGTGTTTTTGAAAATGTTCAACGATGATGATCCGTCAGATTTTATCCGCAAGGTGCAGTTTAAACTCCATGACAGTTACGCTGTCAATACAAGAGGTAAATAATCATCACTATAATAATGGGTGGTTACTAGAAGTAGGGAGCAATCTAAGCTCCAATTGTCTTGGCGCTTTAGGCAAATTTTTTGGGTTTATTTTGTTAGCACCCGCTGCGATATAATCCCTTGTAAGCTTAGTTCTAGCAAAATGTAAATTTTTAATCATACTTTCTTCGATAATATTGTAGTGCTATAGTGCCATATTAAAGTGAAAAATATCATTCAGTCTGCGATAAGCCACCTTATGAAGTCACCGAGACTGGTTGGGGTGAATTCGAGGTGCAGATGCGAATCTATTTCGTTGACGTAAACGAGAAACCGGTAACCATTATCTTCTACTTCCAAATGTTGATTTTTGAAACTTAAATCTAATTCCAATTTCTTCTAAGTCTGATAATTCTTCTTTGTCATTTTCCTCATCGAATTAGTTTTCTCACTTTCGATCGTACCTTCAGGTTACTGTTTTCCACTATCTCCGGCTGTTCCAACCAGTATTCACTCTTCCAAATGGTACAACTCAAGTAATTGCAGAACATTATGATGAAATTGTGAGTTTGGAAGTTTCACATACTAAAAAGTAAAACTGAGAGATAATTGCGTTGCAAATCTAAAGTGATGGAAATTAGCAAAAGTATTCCCATGCCGGGAATCGAACCCGGGCCGCGTGGGTGAAAACCACGAATCCTAACCACTAGACCACATGGGACATGAGATTTCCGTCGTTAGCCTCTCCTGTGGTTTGGACATCAAAGATCTTGGAGATTTTGAATACCTGTTACCATGGCTCCTGAGATTTCAGCGCAGGGAGGATTCGTTTTTATTTCATTCACATAACAGTAAATTTGATCTCATTTCAAGGAACTGTCTATCGTTTTGCAAATGAGGGAGTGGTGAAATGAGAAAATGTTCAACTTTGTCCACTGAGAGCAGCAAAAGTATTCCCATGCCGGGAATCGAACCCGGGCCGCGTGGGTGAAAACCACGAATCCTAACCACTAGACCACATGGGACACAATGCTCTTGGGCGCTGCGTTGCACAAAATTAGGTAAACTAGGTTGTAAAGATGCTGGATCTTTAAACTTCGTATGCGTAATAAATGACTCATACAACAATCTTTTCCATCTGGAACGCAAACTAATGAAGAAAAGAAGAGTGAGAACGTATTTATTTCTCTAAATCTACATGTTTTATCCTAATTTTTTTCATTGTGAAAAACATTCCAAATATACTTATACAAACACAAAAATCAATAATTTGCGGTGTGTATGCAACTGTTCGGGTTTTGAATAGTATTGTATTTTTGTTTTAGGTATTTCAAGAACCCACAATTCCAATGTATAAAGCGTTAACATCAGGAGATGGAAAGAAACATGACCGAAAGAAGTTCCATTCTGACCGTGAGTGTTTCCGGTACTTTTATAAATTCGGGGCTGAAATATTCTCACTAACTTCAGTGCTCACGCTTTCCCGAGCTATGTAGAAATACTAAAATAAAATAAAATATAAAATATACTCAAAAATATACTCAAATGGAAGTGAAAAAACAGTTTTACTTTTCAGTAATGCAAGTATGTCGGCGGACAGTGCAGAATGTGAACATGGCTAAAGAAGAGATCCAGCAGGAGATCGACGATTTGCGAGAATCGTTGCGTGCTGCCCATAAACTGATCTTGAAGTACAAGACCGGTAATGATCCTGATTCCAATCGCTCTACACCTGATGTTTCGATGTGTCAGTAAAATTCATTACAATGCAATCGTCAGATCTGAGTTTACCAAATCTCCTTTCTTCCTGTTATACACCATTTTCATTCCTCCTCTCATCGTCAGTTTTTTTAGGTGTTTTTGCTTGGTAGCTTGATTTCTTTCTACAGCATAGATTTGTGAGGGTCTTCCCTTATTTTGTAAATTGAATCCTTCGCTTTGAGTAGAAGGTCTCGTTAAATAAACAATACGGGTCGATCAAGAAATTCTGAATTTGCGCTATCTTACATTTTATCTAACGGTCGATGTAGATATATCTTACACGTCCGTGGCGTATTTGGTTTCAACTTAATGTTCACATAGCTGGGGAATGGAAAAGAATCGGTTCCGGTTACCGTCGACTAAAATCTACTGTGTTTGTCCTCATTAAGACTATGATTATAGTGTTTCACTGGCAAGAGTTAGAAGCTGATAAAGATCGCTCGGTGATGGTCCTTCAATCTCGAATATATGAGAGGTTTGAAAATTTCGTAGAGTGCAGGTGGCGGAACTTTCTCCATCTGTTAATTATGTCCCATCGTCCAGTCTGCATCTCATAGCCTACTAGAAATCCTAAAAATTCCCCATGTACCTCGAGCACATACCTGAGACATTCAACTTTTTTGCGTATATGTTCCATGATTACAAATGAAGAAAAAATGATATGAGTGAAATGGCAAACCCGGTTCCTAGCGGTCCTAGGTTGTTGTTAGACTTATCACATATTAGGTTGTCCCGAAAGTTTCGCCGGTTTTTTTGACTGGTCATTAAAACTCGCAGAACACTTATCGACGAATATATTAGGTGTCGTTTGATTCAGATTTTCATCCTCTTTCTGATGGATACATTCGCTCTTTTATGCAGTCCCTGCCATATTAGCACAATGACTCTTTGAGCACTTCAGCAGTGACGCCAAACTTTTCCTAATTTTTACAAACTTTTATATTGTTTTTCTGAAAAAACGTTGGTAGCTGTTATGTAAACCTTTGACTACATCATGCTTACTTTAGATTACATAGATCTATTTTTTGAAATCTGTGACAATTGTTTATTTTGGAAAAACTCCGGCTTGTTGAGCATTTGTAGCGCAGAGGTAACGAAAATTCCAAAAAGTTGACTCGATCATTGTGCACAAATGATGTTCAGTAACAATCAAGCTTCAACTCGCAAAAACTTGGGTGCTTTCATGTTTCTGCTGCAGTTGTTTGTTTCGTGAGTTCACGGAAACTTAAGATCTCAAGAAATGATTTTTTGAAGTTCCCGTCAGCGGATCAGGGGGCTAAAAGAATGTTCTCATAGTTCGAGAACTGCTTTATTCAAATCGCGCCTACCCTTTCCCGAGATATAAATTAAGATTTTTAAAAATTAGCCGAATTTTGAACAGATAAAAATGGTAGGTAGACAATTTTTGCGGTTATAGGGAAGCATTCATAATTATGGAGCGAAGATGTAGCCTTCAGAAAGAGAAGAAAAAGCTGCATCGAATGACTTTTGAAATGTATTCAGGTGTTTATTATGCGAGATTTTAAAGTCATTCGAAAGAATGGACAAAACTTTCGGGACGACCTAATACATTCAGGAGTACGACCATGTATTAGTACTCTTATAGGTGCTATGCATACTCAGGGAATGTTAATCTGGGAATCGGAGAAAAATTATGAGACAACCTAATAGTCGGGTTGTACGTAAAATTGCTCGTCATAGCTGTTTTCGAAGCAACTTTGCCGTATAGAGTACAAATAAATTTCCAGTAGACATGATCACGACTTACCACTTGCTCGTTCCTGTGACCGCAGCGATTTTTCTTTGTCAAGACAGTATGTATGCAGAAGTCTGCTTAGGCGGTTAATGGAATTGCTCCAATGGCTTTGGTATTAGTTTGCAGTAAATTTACGGTATTTGCACGGCTAAAGAGAAGATCATTTCCTTCATTGTTTCACGCGTTTCATTTAATCCATTTGTTTCTGAGTCTCACAGTAGGGTAGTGGTACGGTAAGATTTATCTAGAACATCTATTTGAAGAGTTAAAGCAGTTAGCTTAAACATTGATATTCATAGTTAGATTGCTAAATTGTGAATATATGGGATTCCAGCTTTTTTGAATAGAGCAAAAATTAGTGAGTGAACACTTATGGAACATCTGTTTGAGACTTATGCCTGCAGTATGTGTGCGCGAATTCTTAAAAACACCAATTTTGGAGTTTCTAATTCAACAGTAATCCCCTGTAAAATTTCAAAATTTCGCTCTCTCTGATTTTTTTGTTTCTCTTTCTTGCCGTTTGGGTCGTATCGCGAATTAAACAATAATATAAATTCTTTTGCAAGCAAGAAATTTTTTATTGAATGAATATAGCTGCTCTTCGTTGTTAGTTGATAATATTCATAAGCAGAATGTGTCTTCTTCGAAAAATTGGAACGGGACTTCCCTATGAAATTTACCTATTCATGCAGGGTCGAGCAAAGTTTCAATTCAAGGATCAGTTTCGAAGATGCGAAATGCCAAAGTTAGCTTGCATCGGGAAAGTTTAAGAGCCAAGAATTTTTATTACTCATCAAAGAGTTGTTTAAAGAGTTGAAAGCAAGTGCTGCACAGCAAAAAATTCGCAACCTCATGTGTAACTTATCGTACGAGATGTATTCGTGAGGATTGCGAGATTCAGCTACCGATGAAGATAATATCAAGAGTTTTGCTCAGAAAACTTCATCAAACATCTTTAAGAAAATGATAACCCTTCTGTATCCAATTTTTTTTAGGGGAGGTGACGGATCTCGCGAAATTCCATTTGTCAGTGTCACCTGCATTCTACGTTTATCGTCCGTTCTTGGTATGAGGAAATTTGCAACGGATGAGCATGAAATCCGCTATTGTCCAGACGTGGTCAGCAATTTCTTCAAACGATTGATTCAGCAACTGATAGTAGTCATTCATCAATCTCATCGATTTATTTCATTCAGTCGAAAGCTAAAGCATTAGTGACTTTGATATGATGGCCTTCAATGAATTGTTATCGCTTAATCAAAATTAATTGTTGAACACTTCTGCCCATTTTTTGATCTTACAATGTAACCTAACCTCAAAAACCCATACGCATGCCTCCTTTACGGTATAACTCAACAAAGGAAAGTAATAGTCGAGAAGCAGCAAGATTTGATGTTTTAGAAAAAATCTTTTTTCAAATCTCATGGCTTGTCGATGCAGATGAGGTTTATCGGCCAGAACTGCCAGCCAGAAATCTCCAGTGCTACTTTACTCTGGAGGAAAGATGATGGAGTCACACAATTTTGATGTAATGTGCTCCGTCAGATTTCTCGTTAGATAATATTCCCAAATCAGAAGATAATTTTTCCTAGCTCTGTCCCAAACGTAATCTTTATCTTCGTCAATGCATAAGGTATGCTCGTTTTTTGGGAGAGGCTTTTTTCCCGTCTTTCAAAATTTTTCAATTATTCGACGCAATTGTTTGGTCGATCCCCTCGATTCGGTTCGGCCCCTGCCCACTCTGTAAATTTACAATTCGGAATGCGATCGATAGTGGTTTTGGTGACTGACGCCAGACGGAGGTGACCTTGCGTGGAGACTGCATCTACGCATAGTCCCGGCACCTAGTCAGCACATTATGTCACGAAAAATTATTTTTTACACGCCATAACTAGCAGGCCCCAGGAGACAGGGAGAAAGGGGGAGGGGAGGCGAGGGAAGGGTACGAGTTCAGATTTTGAAAAAATCTGAGGCTGAAGCTCCATTTTTGGTGCGGTTTTCAACAGCCTCCATTTTCTTTCCATTCTTTAGCTAGAAATCCCTCCTCCGCTAAAATTCCCAGATTTAAGTCAGCTTGCCGCTTTTGCGCTAGTATCTCATCGTAAGTCAATACGTGACGTAACTCGACGTCCTGCACACTTCGCTCCCCTCCGCACCTGTTCCTTGGTCTGTGGGTGTATGGCCTAGTTCAAATGTTAGTGACGCAGAGGGTAGATTAATCTACGAAAAATCCACATAAAATTCATTAGTGGATTCCCGACCAGAATTCTGGGAAAGTGTAGTTTGACGAAGTTTTTCTGAGAAAGGCACAAATGCAAATTGAAATAATGTTAGGCAGATCCCTCAAACTCCCTAATTCTTCATTGGTCCTTGCGGCAAATATATCTTTTTAAGGAAAAGGATAATCAACTTTCTACACGATGTCACAGTTCGAATATAACATCTAAAGGTTCTATATCTGTTTTTGGAATTGAGCGCTATCAATGCGCTAAATAAGCAGTAGATTTTTGATGTCTTTTGCTTCGTCGCTATCCTAATTTGAAAGATCATACTGTAATATTAGAGACTTACTGTATTTTTTGGAGCAACGGCATATCACATTATAAGGCCCTAACAATGCTAGAAATATTCTCAGCAAATGAGCTAACATTTTTTTGGTCAACATGCATCTTCTAAACTATTAATATTTTGTAAAGTCATTCAGCTAAATGTTTACTGCGAATAAAGAAGATCGCACAGTATTTAGAAAAATGGTAGAAATTAACACAGAATTCAAATTGCAAAACATTTTGTGAAAAGATAATTGAAAAGCCATTCCCTGGAAATATTTTGAGAACTCTACCACAGTTTGCAGGATTACGAAATGTTTGGTCGAAGACCATCATAACAAAATCCTGACATAAAATAGTTCTTGTGCACAGGATTAGACATGTTGCGCCAAGTTGAGCGCTGGAACCCACTTTATGGAATTGAAAAATTCGTAAACAAATTCGTAGCGATGTTTGTTCTGAATAAAATTCAATATTTGCGGAAGTCTGAAGAATGAAGCCGTGTACCTGCCTTGGCAAAAAAATGTTGCAGCATGCTTGGTTTGAATTTGGTGATTAATATAAACTAAGAAAAGCAGAATTAGAATAAAACCTATCATGATCCTTATATTTGACTTAAGACGTGCAGTTTTTGAAAGGAAGCCTCAGATCAAAGTCTTAGTAAAGTTAGAGATGGCTTCTCCTCAAGCAATATGGCTTACAATCTGGCTACTTTTTTATTTTGTCAAAATTATTTGGATCCAAAATAATTTGACTTATACTTTTATCTCTGCCTTGTAATTAGTTGGTTAGTATTTCACATATTTTTCATCTCTTTTTTGGTGCCTTAAGTGTAATAAATAGATAAATAAAATAATCAAATAATCCGAGTCGAACACCTAGACAAATTTGGTTCGCTGATTCAAACAATTTCTGGAGTTAATATTCTAGTGAATCTGTATGTGGTACTTTGTATTCACCACTTAACACTTCTCATTCATCAAATCTAAGCGTATACAAGCGTTTTTACAGGCATTTGCCAATTCCGTTGCCCATTGTTCAAAGGCGTCGTGAATTTGTTCGGATCTGTCTTGCATCCGATAAATAGTCTCAATTATGCGTGATTTATTATTTTCGCATCCCCCGGCTCGTCCCCCCTCGTTATTCATTGATCGATGCGACGTAAGTGCATCACTACAAGATGTTAAGCACGACAAACCCAACCCCGGACGAAACCATCTGTCCGCAGATTACGGTGTGATGGACATCGATTAGACTAGATGGAGGAAGAGTCCATGGATCTGTGGATGATTGCAAAATTTGAGAGTCTTAGAAGAGGATCTGGAAAGAACGTAAACAAAAGAATTCGAGAATTTTAGGTTAATTTTGAAAGCTGTAAGATCCTAGTTTAACGATTGTAATTAATTATTAGAGGCGATGATTATCTGAATTTCTTAGCTCTACCTGATTTTCCTAGCTCACATGTTCGGCCGAAGTTCTTTATTTTGTACTTCCTTGCGAGATAAATAAACAAAAACACTTTTCATTGATTGGTAAAAGTTTACTTCTAGGCCTGGAAGAATAGATATGTATTTGCTTGTAACTGTTTCTGTCTGTAATATTTCGAATAACATAATTTCTCCCATTTTATTGTACAATCTTCTCATAGCACCCATGATGCTTCAGCTACTACATACACTAAATCCATCTCAGGATTGCAAAGACCTTATCATTATTTATTCAATAAATACATATATATATATACCTATGGACAGGAAGTGCTCACTTACATAGCAAGAAAATTTCCGTAAAACTTATGCGTCCAGTTTTGGTATGCAAAAAATAGCACATTTGCACGTGACATGGTCTTGAAGCCATTTTAGACCGATCCTGCACTAATAAGGCAGAAATTTCACTCAAAAATTCAGCACAGATTGAGTTTGGTGGTAGCATTACTAGATGAAAAATTTTCCTGAACCACTCAAGCAGTGGTAATGTTACACAACCCATCCACTAACTCGTCTTCTGAGTGCCTTCGTTTCCTTTTATATGCAGTCTAATTCTCTTCGATAATAAATGGTTGCTAAGTGAATCATACCAAAGCCATAATACAAAGCAAAGGCACTTGTTGCCACAAGCAGTAGTAGCATGAAGAAAATTGAGATGTAGCCTCGTCTTGAAAATGTTTCAAGCTTTATCCATGGTGTAATTACCTGAAAATTTTTGCTTTATTACTGAAGAATTCGCCCTTGAATTCGCTTGCATAAGATGGAAGAACGAGTTTCGAGGAATGAATGCTTCTGCGTTCCTACTCGATGAAAATGAAATGTTCACGAAGGCACATTCAGTGAATTGCTGAAAACGGAGCCTTTTCAGACACTCACTGTAACGTTTGTGCTGGTACAAAGTAAATTTCGAGAAAGAATTAAATGGTATTTCCATATTTGTGTCTGCATCCTGAGGTTTGTGCCTATGTTCTGACCATTGAATATGTGCAGTAAGCGGTTACATTGCTATAGCTTCCTGTATCTTGCATAGGATTTCATCAGTTGTGCATTGGTTATGCCGCGCACTTTGTAAATGCAACTCGTGTGCGCTATAGAGGGCATACGATTCTGGAACATTCTGGCTAAATTTAGGAGGTTTCAAGTGCAGCTAGACTGCAAGAGATTTGTGTAAACAGCTGACAGACATCGGCACTAGCAGAGGTCGCATCCAAGTCCAGTTGGGCTATATGCTAGCAATAAGAATGGTGGAAATTACTTATTAGCATAGTAAGTGCATGTTTCTCAAAGTTTATGAACCTTCAGTTTCTTATGTTCCTCTACGGAGAAGGCATTCACAAAGGCACACACAGAGGAAAGATTATATGTAACTATGCTAAGTAGATTTAATCGTAGACTCTACAACAAATAAATATTGCTACAATCAATATTATCCGAACAAAAATGCTTTCCCTTGAAAATCTTTGTGGATTGGAAGAAAGCGGAAGAGTTTGCTCTCACCCTAATAGTTTCATTTAATTACTATAGCGTTGTGTAACTCGAAGATATCTATGGATAATTTTGTGATTTGTGCAAAACCTCCAAATAATCAGACTTCCCTCTTCAACTACTTTTCTCAAAGTCTACGTGAATAGTTACAGCATTCAATTACGAACGCCAGGCAGTAAATTATCTAGCTCCCAATTATAATATAAATTAGCTCTATTTTTTAGAAGTTGTAATTGATATATGGTTCCGTAGAAACATAATTGTGCAAGTTTCTGGGTTCTTGTTGTTGTTTCTATAATTGTCGTTTTATGTAGGTGAGATGAGGGTTTTTTCAATTCTGCTGAAACATCAGAATTCACATATGCTCAACATTACTGACAATCATAAGTCGATAAATAACATACGTTAATAAGGGTACTGAAGAGCTATTAAGCTAATTTGCTATGTACTACTCTCCCAAATGACAATGAGTGCTGCTCTGCAGGAGATGAGAAGTAGGGAGTCATACTCCATTTATGCCGGAATCAGTGAAAAAACCGTCGAAACTAAGAATAAAAAATTTTTTGTCAGCAAATTCAAACGTTCTGACTCTAACATACGAATACCGCAAATCAGACAATGTTCTGTCTGATTTGCAATATTCGTATTCATGAGGAGGTCTCTCAATACACCTAAAAATCACTACGTAACATTTAATGAATTCGTTGTTTACCGCTTGGCCACCCCTGATCCGTGGAACACGGCAAACGAGGAGACAGCAGACGGAGAAATTATGATGAAATGTACAGATGTTCATTCTTGGATTGCTGCCGAGTGGCATGCGTTTCGGAACGCTGCCAAATTTCACAACGAGTGACCAAGCATTTTCGTAAAAGGGTCACACGTATTTCGAAAGGCAATCATGACAGTCGCAATGATTTTGAGAATGGGTCGCCAGTGTCCGAGTGTGTTATTTGTACCTGCCTTTTTTTGAGCTTATTATCCCAGAATGCGTCTTTCAGATATGTTGTATACTCCTATCAGTTGCTTTCGAAATGATGCCAAATTGCGTAACAGCGTGACTTGAGCTAAATTCATTTATGTTCTCTACTCCTGGTAAAAATGCTCTAACTAAATCTTGCTTCCGCGTGTAGACAAGAGAGTAACTTGGTCTCGCTGGTACTTTTGGAAGCGTTTATCTAACAACAGCCTTGCTCGCTGGTGCTTTCAACTAGGTATTGGTGTGTAAGCGGCACGTAGGGCAATTTATATAGATCTCAAAATCAGCAGTGCAATGATTGCATTTTTTTTTGATAATAGCGTGGATTTTTTGAATGGTGGCCTTCTTCAGATTATTGTATACGATATTTTGGAGAATGAGAATTGAAATTTTGAATGACACTCCTTGGTACGCTACCACATAATCATATGGACATGCAGTAAATTGTAATTTATCTGCACACTGTTATCTAGAAGATGCATTTTTGCAGAAGCTGTTTTGCACCTGCACTTTTTCTTTTTCTTTTAGAAAAAAATTTCTATTTTTGAACACTCTAAGAAGGCCAAGCTTGCTTGACGCGATCAGATAGGAAGTAATCTCAACCAATTACTTGTGAATAATTGTTGAAATGCAGTTTACATATTCTTAAACAAATCAAAAGCTTGGCTAGTATTCTCGAAAATTTTAACAGAAACTGTATTCTGTAGAACTAGTAATATTTACGACTTAAGACAAATGCATGTCAAATTTTCCCACCCCTCTTTACAGCTATTCCTGATAGCGTTTTGCAGAGAATCACGAGCAGTAAGTTTAACAATTTCATCCGATAACTGACAGCTGACTCGAGCCTATTTCCCCATAACTTATACACATTACTTTATAGTTTTTCAAAAAATATTCCGCACTCAAAAAAAGGATTGTTACGCGTTCTCTAGCAGTAGCATCGCCGATTTGTAAGGAATTTTTGGAATTTTAGAAAATCCAACGCGGCGAAATGTAGTTATGCGGAAAATCGATAAATTCATGAGATAAGGCACTCCGCATAGTTCGCTATGCTTTTCACACTATAAGAGAGCTTCGCGGTCAATTTGCAAGGATTTTTTGAGAGCTGAAGATGCTGAGCAACATTTTAGGAAACTCATAGCTTGGAAGAAGCATCTAAATTCAAAAAAGAATACAACTTACAGCTCTAAAAATTTGTACACCCTTTCGCCTTTCGCTCAGCGGTAAAATTTACGGTTTCGGTAAAATTACCTTTTTTATGTGGGCAAGAAGACTATGGTTAAGCTGGTAGCTTCGTGATCTCTACAAAAAATTTGGATACTCAATACCCCTTCACTCAATATCGCTTACCAAAATCAATACGAAAATAATACGAAAATGAATACAAATTTCAAATAGAAATTGTGGACCCAAATTGTCAAATTGCTTATGAACTGAGAAATCACGCTCAAAATAGTGGCATTAATTAGCGCATTATTAATTAATTGCTTTTTAATCAAAATGACACTCACTAGTATCCATTTTTGAAAGGTCATTTCTGGCACTTTAGTTTCATTGGATGCAACTTTCCAAACTAGTTCAAGCTCAGTTGCCGTGAACTAATCTAGAAGAATGACTAGGTATCACTAAAACCATAAAAACATAAATTAGCGGTAGAGTATAATCTGTACAATCTCTGCGTATTTTCTTTGATTCTATGGAATTGTAAAAAGTGGTTTCGGACAAAATACTTAATTTTCATTTTCACTTAATGGGCTTGAAAATTCCAAACGATTTTGTAATGGAACATGACATGACGGCAATAAATGCAGCAATACAAAAGCTTATTACATTTGCTCAAAAATTCAATATGGTAGGCACTTCTCTATATTGTAGATTTTTCGACATTGTTTCAAAATCTTTCTGAGTATGGTACAAATCACGGGAGATTGTGAAAAAAATGTGGATGTTTGAAAGGTTTTAAAACTATTTCTATATGTGGAGAAGCTGAGGAATTCTCAGGATAACGCTTTCGTTGACAAACAGCGTGCGCGAAAAGCCAGAAAATTTGGATTGTAGCCAAATGAAATATAGATAAAATATCTGCAAAAATAGCAAATGTCATGTTATTCAGAAGTAGCTAAGCTTCTCAAAGCGATTATCGTTGCAAAGGAGAATCCAAATTGTGTAGCATGTCGCAAATTCTGTTCCTCTTTGGAGAGAGGAGATCAAAACCTAGGTACAGTATTTCCTAGGTGGAGATAGTAAGATTTTACGAGTTTGCACCCTGCAGATGGTTAACACTCAACTGGGACAAGGTCACGGTTTATTTGCATTATTATGGCTGGCTGTTGCTAAACCCAAGCACTTAGATTCGATACTTCCAACTACAGAAAAGGGATTTCCACACTAAGCTGTTGTTTAACATACTAATCGCCAGATTTCACTACACTTTCTTCTAGAAAAAGTAAACTGAAAACTAAGAAAGTTTTGTTACGACTGTCTCTCGCTAGCTGTACAAGAAGAGATTTCTCCGGACGGACAGTTTCATGTTGTAGAAAGAATACAGCGAATTCAGAAGCGAACGTATTATTATTGCATTTCCAGAAATCCAAAAACTATTGATTTTTTTTGCAAGGATCTAAGCTGACTGGTTGGTTATAAAAGTCTTAGAGACTCTAAAAATGAATGTAGAATCTTTTCAAAGGATTGGATATGGGGCTCTGCGAAAGCAAAATCAGAAATTCTTATTTTGACGATGACTCCACTTTTAGCAAGGAAGTTTTACGCCACCAAGCAATTCTTCATAGGCCTCAGCTTTGAAAAGATTGTATAGTCTCTGAAAAGAGCTCAAGATAAAATTGTGGATCTGGTGTAGGTAGAAAATCAGAAATTATTATTTTGACTAGGAATCACCACAAATCGAGTGAATCTCTCCACAGAGAGCATTCGAGGTTGTAGACGACTTTCAGCTGAGCTGCTGAGATCTTATCGAGATGTCCTTTCAAGCTCGACATCACACTTATCCACACTCACACCGACACACAACAAGATTATACCGCCAGCGCCGCATTATCGATCGATTGTGCTGCGTATACGCTCTTTTTATTCTATTTACCCCGTTTCCGCGAGACGTGGTCAGGCCGACGGGCGTCTTTCCTCCGCTCCTTGTCCCGTTTCGGACCCGGGTCCTGCACCTGCTTCGCATTCCACGCACGTCATGTTGTACATCTACGAACTCCTCTTGACCTGCTCTCTTCGATGGTCCAAGAATCTCTGTAAAATCTGCACTTTGTAGCTCAGAATGTTGCTCTTGGAACTATGGTGCGATAGGCCTCTCCAGTCCCTCTGCCCTGGAGCGATGGGCCTCACCTGGCTGGCTGGCTCGGTCCTGCTCGGCCAGGACTACGTCTTCGGGAATGTTTGTGATGGCCGCGTGCGACGCCGCCCGCGACGGCTTGCGCTTTCCTGGCTGAGTATCAGACGCGGCCCGGAACAACAGCAATGCTCAGAATTTCACTGCGTAGTCCCGCCCCCACGTCGCCGCCGCCACGGCCGCACGCGACGCCGCAACCTAAATGTAAATTCACTTATTTACTGCGGAATTTCGCCGTTTTCGACTTAGCCGAGCTTCTCTCGACTCCCGTATATCGCTCGACTCGTCTCGGCGAGCTCTACACGATGCTGATGCCATTTGGAACATTCAAATAGTTGCTGCAGTCGTTTGCCAAGTTTTCATTTTATCCCTAATTACGCTATCGATTTTGCATTCGTCATCATTTTTTCTTGGCCCGCCCCGACCAAAGGCCACCCTGCAGCTCTCCACACATAGCTTACTACATTTTATATATATGAATCCTTCAAATGACTTCTACGGCTCCTCTTATATCTATAAGGAATTGTTTGCAGTATGTTGCAGAAATCTCTTCTTGGTTCTCATCGACATTGTTTCCAGAGAACTTGTTTTCTGGACTAACAAAAATTTGGCTGAATTTTTAGGAGCTGTGCTCGGATCGGAAAAAAACTGATGTAGTTGGAGTACTACATCTACGTTCATTCTTCTAACAATTTGCATTCTTATTCTGTAACTTCTTTCCTATCAGCCCATCAAAATTTTTTGAATATGAGAAGCATGTTTGCAATATTCATGTCTTAGAACGGCAAAATTGTTGTTTTTCGTCCTTCACTCTGCTTTAAACTAGACGAAGCACGTAACCAGTTTTCTAGCACGTTCTATTGCATCTAGAAAAGACTTCCTCAGCTAACTTCTAGGACATATCAAAAAGCTTTTGTGTATTTACACAAGAACTTCTTTGATTCCTTCAAAATTTCGAATTATTCATATTTTATTAGGTTCCCTGTATAAATGACCCCGCAGAAAAGTACGTCATATGTTCTTTCGTTTTCTGAATTTGAATTGATTTTGCTATCTTCCATATAGTGCAAACAGCATTCTTTGCAGGTGCAACATTTGAAGTGAAGTCAGACTTGGTTGTTCTCAGGGTATGGTGTCAACGATGGATGAAGCTGTCCCTGCACCAGCACCAGCTTCTGAAGAGTCACCAGAGAAGGACAAAGATGATCAAATACAGGTGACTAACGATATAACACAATTGTTGTCCCTTTTTCACAAGAATTCCGTCTCTCAGTCGATCAATACATCGATCGATATTCCCAACATGTTGTAAAAATTTCCTTCAATACGATAATTAAGTTCAGATCCTTGATTAAGTTCAGATTTCACATCAGCCTCATTTCTCACGATTTCTTGGTTTAGATGCTAAAGGCTGAGAATCGGTTAGCAGCCTTAGAAGACTCAAACTTGGCTGAGTCTGAAGATTCAAATGGCGTCGATGACAAGGAAAACGGCGATTCCATATGTTCTTCGAACGTTCACGCTCCAACGACATCTGAGGATGTTAGTGCCTGTGAGTTGCTCGTTTTTCTTCTCTCAAGATTCATGGCATTCTCACGAATCCCCGCCGGTTCAGGGCACTATCGATCGGTGCCCGCATAAAAAATGCACGGGGGTAACGCGACGCATTTCTGTGTCATAGAAAATGATCCGAATAGCAAATCAAGTTCATAATCATTGATTGCGTTATAAAACACTGGCTTGGCTAGAATCAGCTAGCAAGTGCATTCTCATAAGCATGACTTTTTTCTCTGAGTTGTAGTGCAGAACAGGTTCCCGTATAACTGCTGCATCCGAGGAAATGTTGTAGTTGAACGATTTTATAATTCCTAGCACCGATTGTACATTCCTTCTTGCAAGGAGCGGGAATGCCCTCGCGCAGACAGTTACAGTAATCGAGTCGTCTTGATGAGTGCATCAAGCTCACCTTACATGATTCCGTGATGCTTGAGCATTACTACCAAAATTCAGAGTAGATTGGATGGTTCTTCATCATGCTGCAGAATGGCATTGTTTCTGCATAGATGACCTCCCTTTTGCATGTTCGCACTGGCCATCAAACTGACCAAAACGTTTTTTTGTTGAGGTAGGCTGGGGCTGGAGTACAAGCATAATCTGTGTAACAGGTTCTACATTGGCCCTTGCATGAAAGAGTACGACTGATCACATCGTTAGTTCCGTATCATTTACCACAGCGTTCATGACTTAGGGTGCTGGAATGTACAGCTATGACTTACACAGCGTTCGTGAGTGAGGAAAAAACTTGAAGTAAAAGCTGTAGTTATAATCCTAATGTGTCCTATCTAGTTTTATCATGAGGACAAATTTAAGTTGTATGAAGGGCTCCCAGTTTGGAGCAATTAAATATTTCCTCTTCGGGTAGACGCTCGCGGTCACCATAAAAACTATAGCAGGAGCTCTCTGGTCTGTTACTGAGGTACCATCTAATTGCTCACAATATGGAATTTGCTTTTTCTTGACTGAAAATTCATGAATCAGCTTATAACTGTTTCGCGCAAGCCCTCCGTTTCCAGCGGCAACCCCAAATGGCAGTCCGAGGCCTCATGAAGTAGAATGCATAGATCTGGATGATGAGACCAATGAACCTCCTGCTAAAAAAGCAAAGACTACCAGTGATTCTAATGACTCCGACGTTGCTGTTATCAACGTAAGTAATTCCCCCATTTTTGCAATTTTTTTCAGAAAAAATAATTTTCCAGGGGAAAGACGAGAAGTCACCGACGAAGAGTGAAAATTCGAAGGAGCAAGAGGCGGAGCTTACTAGTCCCGGAGCACTGTTGAACAAATTGGAGGAATATGTTGCAGATGTGAGTTTAGAAGATGCCTACATAATATCCCCGCTCTTTATCAAAGCTAGCATTTAGGCTATTGATAATAGGAAGAACATCGACAGAAAAGTTCTTGATGCGTTATTAGGAGCTATAAATGTACAAGTGCAAAAGGAGCCGTTAAGTGTGCGAAAGCTCATCCTCGACAAACAGCTTGTACTGCCCAACACTATATCATTCCCACCAAGTCTGGTTAGTTTTAGGACATTTTACCATGCCCTATGAGACACCACGCGTTGTGCCACAAGTTATGATGGTTTCTTTTTCAGACTGTAGATATGCTCATAGAACATGATCCGGACCATCCGCTCTCCAAGGTTATCACGCGGATGTTCGGTGAGGAACGACCGAAGCTAAATGAAGCGGAAAAGAAGGAGCGACAAAATCTGAAGGTATGACTGTCAAATGTCTCTTGTCAGATGCCATAGAAGCCTTTTCAAGGCTTTGGTTGTACATGGTCCTGTGTGCAGTAAGAAAATGTTGCTTGTTAATTTGAAGCAAACACTGAAATGGTATTTTTAAATTTCAAGGCATATCTGGCAAACTATCCCCTTCTACCCCTTTTTGTCCCATGCCGGCCTATACATTTTGCCGTCTCTGGCTGATATTCTTCGTTTGATTGGAGGAAGAATACCAACAAATAATTGCAATGTAGGATAACATCATCACTGTTGTTGACTTTTATTGCATTTTTTTAAACATTGTTTTTACTGCGCTGTACGGTTATTGATTCAAGGTCAACACTCTAAATGTTTTTTTTTGCAATCAAACAAAAGCGAGAGGTGGTAGTCCTTCTCGAATGCTCGTGTAGACGACCATGGATGTGGTTTTGCTTCCCACTGTCTGTAGTTGAGTGTGTGCAACGAGTAATGCGAAAATGGAATAGTGCATCATATGGCTCACTCCACATGGCTTTTGGAACTAGATGGAATGTCTTTTTTTTAAGAATTGATCAATAGTTTAAAAGTTTATTAGCTTTCAGGAATGCTTTATTAAAATTTTTTGTTTGCAGCTTCATAATAACGTTCCTCATATGACGAAGCTGCTCCTCGACATCGGTCAAGATCTAGTCCAAGAATCAACTTATTGCGACATCGTTCACGCTCGAAATCTTCCAGAAACACCGAAAAACATAGAGACATATAAACAGGTATGCAATTCATCCGAGTCCTCTGCATCTCTTTGAATTGACGAAATAGTATACCACGATCGATCGATCGATGTAGGCTTTCACACAAAAGTAAACATAGATTTTTGACGTTACCAATATGTCCAATGGGAAAGAGAGCAAGTGACAGACAAGGAAGTCACAGTTCGGGGCAACAACCTTTAACGAAATTTGGGCTAAGCATGTATGAAGAAGCCTTCCCTCTATCAAAAAAGCTTATGAGGCGCAGACTATTAAAGTTTGGGTATTCATTTAGATGAATAGGAGTTTTGCTGAGAAATCTTTTTTTAGTTTAGCGGAAGCTTTTATCTGTTTTCTTCATCAGCGTTTTTCGAATAAAAATCAATAAGTATTTTATTTTGGGTCAATTTGTACTCTTTGTCAAATGACCTAGCATCTCTGGTTTGTTTTTCAGGTTGCAGCACAATTGAAACCAGTTTGGGAAGCCTTACGGAAGCGGAATGAACCTTACAAGCTCAAAATGCTAAGCTGCCAAGTGCGTCATACCATTGTTATCCTCGTACTGCCTTTTTTTCTAGTAATGAGCTTTAGGTCTGCGGTTTCAAAACTGAATCGCGGATGATCTTACAACACCATCGTTCTACCGTACATTTTCGACATGGCAAATATCAGTGTGCTATGTGCCCGGAGTTCGATACCAACGAGCAGCGTCTTATCAATCACTATCTGTTAGTTTCTGACCGGCATTCAGTTGTAGGAAAAATAAATAATCGAATTTTGCAGTGAATCTCATAACGTTGTGGCAATAAAAGATGATCCACAAGCAAAATACCCGTGTTTGATATGCGACGAAGACTTTCAATATAAAGGTTTACGAGACACGCATCTGCGTACTTGTAAGAAGGATTACAGCCGTGTTCGAAACATCATGGGGCCGAAGGTATGTTTTTTTGCGCGGCTTATGTGCGTTGATTTCATATCTGGCTTTAGGGTCCTGAAGATCAGCTTATGATCAATCGATGGTTATGGGACCGCCCTCCTATCGATCCGACCATTCTGCAACAGCAACAAGCCGCTCAAGCTCAACAGGTTTGTGTATTGCAAAGTCAGGGCTAGGCACGAACATGTATTTAGAAGCTATTTTTTTGATTCCCTCATAATATTTGTAAAAGCTCTGAGAGTAGCAGTGAGAGAGGAATCAGTAGGCTTGTTTATGTTAACCCAACTACTGTTTTCCAAATCAGTGTAAATTCCTCATCTTCAAGCATGAGGCTTAAAATACTGAAATTTTCATTTGAGTCTTACATATTTTTTTTTCAGAAGCGAAATCAACTCGCTCAAGCTCAACAAGCAGTCGCACAGGCGGCTCTGAGGCGGACAGCGGCTGTACGAGATGCACAACAAAGTGCGCTGCAGCAACAGCTTCTCCAACAGCAGCAGCGTATGCGGCAGGTAAGGCGCTTTCAATTTTTTTGCTGTAATTTTTATTGCAATATTCTTTGTTAAAGGCGGCTGCAATGATGCAGCAGCGTAACATGCTGGGACAGAATAGTAACAGCCTCATTGCCGGTAAGTGATTTTTTTTTCGAAGACGCCCTCAGCTTTGCTTTGAATTTTTCTGCATTACCTAGGCGTACAGTACATTAGGTCACTTTCTCAAGACTCATCCTAAGATTATACTCAACAGTATCCAATAAAACATGAACAATGCAATCAACTTCTCATCCGAAATCGATATGTTCCTCAGAATCTTTTATTTCTAGCAATGCAGCAACATATACAACGAGCCAGTCAACAGCGTGGATCAACGGCAGCAGCGACTGTTGGCTCCATAGCCGCCGCTACAGCTTTATATCAGAAAAATCTTGCTGCTAGTCGCAATGCATTGCTCGCAAATGCTTCCGCTTTGCGGAAAGCACCAACGGTACGTGTCCCTTAATATTGTTGGTAGTTCTATATTTTCTTGAAATTTTATCACAGGCATCAATAGATCACAAGTTTTTTGCGTTGATAGATCTTTCAGATGAATGCCGCCATGCAGAAGGCTTTTGCCATGGCCAACGGCGGCCTCTCGACAGCTGCTTCATCAGGCTCACCCAGTCCAGCACCGTCCCATGCTCTTGGCAACAATACAAACGCTGGCAATGGACCTGGGATATGCGAGATCTGCGACCAGAATATGGCAGATAGGGAACGATATTTCCAGCATTTGCAGGTATTTTTTTAGCACGCCTGTAGTTTTGTTTTACGAGTTATATCCTGATCTTCAGTTAATCCATAAGCACCTTCGGGACAAGACCCTTGATGATGTCAAGCTTGGTGCCCCGCTCGCTTGCAGCAGGTGCCGCGAAAGATTCTGGACCTATGAAGGTCTTGAACGTCATCTGGTAAGCCACTTGACACTTCGTTAACAATGAGTGCTTATTTTGTATTGATTTTTTAATTTGCAGGTTATGGCTCACGGCCTCGTTACAGCGGATTTGCTGGCAAAAGCTCAGAACAAGCTGGATGGCGGCAGATGCAAGCTTTGCGCAAAGGTAATAGGGAAAAATTTTTTAATCATGAATAGCGACGCTGCACCCTACTTTTATGTTTGTTTGCTCTTATGAGATAAGTTGGTGTATATTTAGCAATACGCCTTCAACATGCTGCAACACTTGGTCGCTGATCATCACATTAAGCTGTGCTCCGCAGAAATCATGTACGTTAGAATCTAGGATTGTTCATACGGTCATTGTGATGAATTTTTCTTGCAGGTATTCGTGTGATGTGTGCTCATTCAAATGCAGCAGTTATACGACGTTGGAGACCCATCTGAACGCGAATCATCCTAAGGGCATGACTGACAAGAATGCTGTGCATCCTCCTGCTGCTGAAACCTCTGCCTCAAATGGTACTTCAAAGGTAATACAGGATGTTAATATTTTGACATTGACTTTTCATTCTTAGCTGACATAGTTATCCTCTAGTGTTCAGTCTGAGCATAGTTGTTTATAGCGAAAATAGGTCGGTGCTCTAATCAATAATGAAGTAATAGTTGATGTAGAGGTGCGCTCGCGCAATTCGAATGTAAATCTATCCGTGTTATACAGCAGCATTCTGATCAGCTAAGCGGCCAACTGAGAAAGAGTACAAAACCAACGTTTTGATGAAAGTTGCCGCTGATGTAGGGATAATTTCGGTGGCTTAAACTGGGACATGTAATAAAATAGGTAGTGCATAGGTGTGATGACTTGTTCGGGTTTCCATAAAAAAATGGAAAATCACTCTTTCTCGTTTTTAGCGCTTCCAGCCGCATGTTTGAGGTCAGATCGATGAATTCGCTCGCAGAAAACCGAAATCTTAGCAAAAGTTTCGGAGATTGTTTTCCCAAAAATTTCACAGCACAGCAGACAATGCAGATTTAGGATTCGTATGCGCAATGCACCGTAGTCAATATGTTTTCTCCTTGCGTGATTCTCAGATTTACAATTTTCAGTCAGCACCTGCTCTCTTTGTTGAACAAGGAATATAAAAATTTGGCTGTTGTCATCCGTCGAAAGAATATCAGTTTTCTTTGCGTTTTTCTATTCTCAGACAGCTTTTACCATGTTTAGCAAGAAGATGACGATTACGTTCAGAGTAAGGACGCGACGAAGTCGGGAGAAGATGATTGCATCACTTTGGAGTAGAAGTCCATGTCCACTTGGATTCACCTGGCTCCCGCAGTCTACCTTGTCTGGATTCGTTGATCCGGTAGTTTTCGTGCTCCATTCTCCTACTCGCTATGGCCATTGCACCTACCATGTTGTACCTTCGAGTCTGAACTCCGCTGCTGATGATAGCCGAATGGGTGCCTAATAATCCTTTTCAATGTTTGTTTATTATTCATTCATACGAGGTGGTTGTGTGTAAGAGTTTGCAAGCTTCTCAAGGGCTTTTCCGCGTACTGCAATCGAACAAATAAGCGGTGATACGGTGTCGTACATAGTATAATTTTGTTTTAAATTTTACATATTCTGTTTTCCACCATCATTCGTTTTTACTATGAATCTGTAAAGGTTTGATTTATGTATTGAGATTGATTCCAATTTTTTGTTATTCAGATCAACATCTCTCGTAAAATTCGGATTGTATTCTTCATCTTTGTCTAGGTCATCATTCATTGTCCCCCCTCCCCCCTTCCAATTTCTGCTGCACTGCACGTTCGCAGCTACACTTAAAGCCAATAATGTTTTGTTAGATGTGAATTGAGTCGCATGTTGGGCGACCGACTCTTGAAATGGTTGCTCGAACCGTGTGGTTTTTTCTTCTCTTGTAAAATTATTTATTTACTAAGTAAATCGTGACGTCGTTTTATTCTTTTGTTATTGATGTGACTGCAAGCTTTCGATGAGTGTCACAACTTTTTTTACTTTTACCTGGTTCACTACTGCAAGCAAGAACTGTTTATAGTCCTTCCTATAAAAGGTTGTGCTTACAAGTTTTCACAGCGCTTGCAAGCATTTTATGAGAATGGTTGCTAAATTTTTGGTCAGCGGTCTATTCCTAATTCACTCTCATTATATTGAATCTTGAGAAATCTTGAGAAACGTCGTCTTTGAAATCAGAGGGAGCAGCACGCGTAGGTTTCCGGCCTCGGTAGGGTAGATTTTGTCCCAGATGTCTATCATGTATGTCTGTTACAAAGAAGAGCAAAGAAATAATGGAAGGCAAAAAGTACCAATGGTTCTGCAAATTTTATGGAAGTGTGGAACATTGCACAATTTTGCACAGTGAAAGCGCGGGCGGTTTGGCGGGTAACAGTGGTGGGCTTAATAGGTCCCCCCTCCCTCTCCCCTCCTCCTCCCCCATCCCACTCCACCTCGAGCATGGGTTACGAAATTTTGTAAGGTACTTACATGAGTTATGAAAATGTGATGTGCAAGTGGTTTGTTTATACTTGCAAAAATAGTTCGAAAATAAGTGTTCAAGTTAGCTCTGAAGTTTTTTTTCAAGAGGCGGCGTTATCGGCTTGCAAAAGTTCTGAAAAACATCCCAAAAAGTTTGGAGTGTGTCGTCTCGCTACCTTTCGCTCCTTCTAACGGTGGTACTACCTACAGGAATATTGCTGGGAAGCAAACCATAAATACCAGCAAATTAAGACAATACAGAGTGTCCCAAAAATTGTGCTTACTGTTTGATTAATAACACCTTTGCCATGAAGCTTTCGCAAAGCTTCAGGTACCTTTTTGTAGAGCTGGATTTAACTTACAAATGGTTCACAATAAGGAGCGGATTGACGTTTTCTCTTCATTACTGTGGTACCGTAGTAACTTTGAGGAGGGCGTCATTGAGGGTATATTACCCCTAAAAAGAACTAGAGAAACTGAAAACTCCTACTCTAGGTTAATTGGAGTTGCTGATTCAAATTTGAAACTCGCTTTGCAGTAACGCTTTCTCATAAGCTCGCCGGATATACCGTAACAACCGATTTCTGATATTCGTCGGAAATTTGGTTACGCCATTCAAAAAGCACTGTGAACGCACAAAAGGCTATATAGACTCAGCATGCATGAAATCCTTATTACGCAATTTTCCAGATTTTTTTGAAAGTTTTTTCTAACAGCTCATTTAAAAGTGGCGCCACATGCTGGACGAAGAGGGAACAGTAAGCTCCGTGTTGTAAATCTGAGCTGAGCCAACTACAAAACTGTACCTAAACCTCCTCGAAAGATTTCATGACAAGAGAGTTATTAACAGTCAAACGGCACATTTTTTTTGGGACACCTTGTATTGTTGCCGAGTCCCTTAAGCCCCTGTATCTACAGGGCTCCTAAATTGCAGAGTCGCGCGAACGCGTCGCGCCCGGACATTTTGCCGGCGCCGGCGCCATCGATCGAGGCGGCGCCATTGATGCCCGGGCGCGACGCGGTCGCGCGACCGCTGGTGCAAACGACTCTGCAATTTACCTAGGAGCCCTGGACGAATGGACGCTCTACTTTTGTATGTGGGGTCGCAGAAGGATTATAACTAGGGTCAAACCTGGGGTGTGGCATGCCACACCAGGGGTCCTATTGAGGGGTAAGGGAGGGGGTGGGGTCGTAATCGAAGTGGTGCGGGTGTTAGTGATTGACGTTCGTTAACATTGTCGGATAGACCCATTGGCCAAAATACTAGCGCAGTGATGTTCTGGCCTACCATCGTATACGTACAGTAAGCATAATAAAAAGCCCCAAGGCGTAAGTGCATCATTTTCGTAATTATCATGTCAAATAATCCCTTGGGCCAAGTTTCAGCGAATTCTGGGGTTTCCAAATATTGGGCCACCCAAGTGAGATGGCCATTTTGGAACATCTCACCTTGGTTCCAAAGGTATGCTAACTACTTCTTTCTGCACTTGATACGAAGAACTACTATTTGTTTGATCACACTAGAACTCCTACTCTAAATAACCCTAAGCTAAGGGATTAAGAGTAAGCCAAAATCTCGTTTGTTCTATTTTTCGCTTTCAATATCTTAGACTAGAGAAGACCATTAAGGTTCAAATCTGTATAAACTACGAAGCTTAGACTATCGAACATATAGGGCATTTGAAAAATCGTGACGATGGCGCGACCGCGCGCGACACGTACGCAACTTCAGGAAATCGCGTTTTCTTGGTTTTCATCTCTAGTCGAGTGGTTTTTTTGCTTACACATGATATTGTTTAGACTTGGAAGTAACTGAGCTGGATATTGAGGTGCTGCCTTCTTGTATAAGCCTTTTATGCTACTGTGGGCGCAAAGTCCGCAGTAAAATCCGTCGTCACGATTTTACAAATGAACTATATTTATTTTTGTCGCCTTCCCTCGTGATTCACGTAGTAGCGCAGGCTTAGCATGTTACCGTAACCCTATATTTCCGCAGTTTTTTCCATTCGCATAGGTGAGAAAAAACGACTATACCTTGCCCTAGAAGAAACGGTTTCGAATAAAATTTCTACCGTATAAAGAAAAAGGTTAGGGCATCGATATAAAAAACGCAGATATTTCAATGGTTTGAAGGTAAGTTAATGGGGTGCGGCACAACCCCTAAAAAGATGTGGCAGACACAGCTTTTCTGGGTTGTGCCATACCCCATCAACTGACCTCCAAAGAGGACTTCAAGGAACAAATTATATACAGTTCTAGCCAGGATCTCGTAGTTTTTGTTAAAGTGGTTGAAGCTGAATTCGTCTTCCTTCATTTGAGTAATAGTTAGTGGAAGCAACCACTGTAAGCGAAAAATGAGACAAACGAAATTTTGGCTGGCTCCTAATTCCACAGTTTGATGGTTGTTTGAAGCAAGTTTCTTTCTTTGGTATGGATAAATGGGAAGCAGCGTTTTGTATTAAGTACGAAAAGCGGTAGCTAACTCACTTTCTAAATATAATTAACCATGTATGAGAATGACGGCCAAATATTAGGAACCCTCAGAATTCGCCAAAATTTGGCCCACGGGGGTTTTCTGACATAATAACTACAGTTATTCTACTAATTATGCTTAGAGCCGTTACGTCGTGCCTGCGGTTGGCTAATTAAAGTGCAGGGGGGAAGGGGGATATCGAAACAGAACTTAGGGGCGGGGGGTCGTCCGGCGGTTGTATGCCACCCTCTTTTGACCCTGATCATAACTTTGGCAGATTCCAGTTGCCTTTTTTTGTAGCTTGAACCAGGGTTTTTGACGAACATCCGCAGTAATAACCCCAGGTAGAGAATGAAAGTCATTGGATGGGTAGTTAAGAGAAAGTTTACCTCATCGCGAGCCGTTGAATCACTTTCAACAGATCTTCATGCAGTTTCTGGAAAAAGGGAATATAGCAGAGTCTATCCTTTTCTTGGAGTTGGTGGACAATATAAAGCCATTTGGGCATCTGGCTAAACATTTAGCTGTGTGCAGGTTTGGGAGAAACTTTACTTGTATGAATGGGGTAAGATTTTGGCTTGGTTTTAGCATCGAGGCAATGTCGTTGCTATCTGTTGTCCTTCTGGCGTAGAAGGAGAAGCTCAAAAGAATTGCTGACCCAGCTACATCAATTTGAACTTGAGTCTAGAGATTCAAGCATTGGTGACCTACTGTCTTGTTCGTGGGAAAGCCTTCACTTCAGCGAGCCCCCTCCGAAAAATTTTCGCGGGACTAAAATTCGGAATTATTGAAAAAAGTCGTGGAACCGCCTTGCAAAAGATTTCTTGGCTGATTTTGTATGAAATTTAAAATGTCACAGTATAGCTCATGATTCGTCAAGAAAAAAATTCGCCGAACATCATCGAAATCCGCCGAGATCCGCGTCAACATAGCCATCTCTATATTCAGAGTGAATAAATTCTGAATGCAAGGGCACTCGACTTAGTTCGGTGATTCGCATCTTCTTTTCTATATAGAAGAGCCATTTTGGATGCAGTAAATGCATGGTAGGCGGTCAGTTTTCACGAACCTTTTTAGATTTGCGCTTACTAGGTTACCTAGTGTGCATTGCATATGAGTAACCTATTCTGATCGCTTACCGTAACCAAACCAGCAGTTCTATGTATCAGACGGTGCGTCTCGCCGAGTTGAGTCGAAAGGTAACCTTGGATGCAGATTTCACTATGAACCACAAGCTATGGCGGGCGTTGCGACGCACTCCGTAAACTCCTGTGGAGTTCGGTGACTTTTTTGACGATTTATGAGCGATAATAAAGCCTTTCAAATTTTGTCCAAATTCTCAAAATGTTTCACAATGCGGTTCCACGCCCTTTCTTTTCGAACATTCAGAACTTTTGTGCCGCAGTTTCGGCAAGCATTTCAAGAGCTTTCCGGTAGGAGGTGGCTCGCTGGCTCGCTACGATCCTTCAATTCTCTTATGATCCATCAAAAATTTCCTGGTAATTATCACTATTAAGGGATCTCTCTAATTCTGAGAATTTACCAGAATCTCGACTATCACCATCTTGAAGCCAAGATCGAGTTTTCTTGGTTTTCCCCTTACATTCAGGTAAAGAAGTATAATTGTAATGTCAGAATTATCGATCATCAGTAGGTTATAGACAGTGGAGCCTACATTCTATTTGCAGATGGTGGAATTGTATGCTAGCGTTATCACCGGCTTCGAAGTTGTGTCCAGCAAAGAGGTAACCACAGCTTTTGGAACGGATGCACACAGGGGACGCGGTCATGTGCGTTTTAAGCTGAATCAAAACCGAATTCAGGAAGTGAGAGATTCTACGTCACCTTGCAGGACCTCTCTTTTGTAGCTATTTTAGGCACTTCGTCTCCGTTCCATAGACAATTTGTACGTCGTACTATATGATTACGAACTCGAAGAACTTGGAACTGCTTTTCAGGAGGAAATAATTGTTTTCTCAAAGCATTCACAGGCTATTCGTTGCACGCAGAGATAGGTCGTCATTGCGAACCATGTCTGCGTCTCTCAGATCAAAGGCGCTTTCTCTACTGTAGCCGTCTGCTGTCTATCTCAACACATACCATCGTGTTAAACGCGACTCCGTTCATTCTTTGCGTGCAATGAATTGCCTATATGTTAACAAAGGTGTAATTAGCGATGTAACCTGACACTCATCTGAATGCAGGAAAGCATTCTTTTGGCTGATTTGCGCATTTGACTGTTGTGATCGCGGAACTCGACTCGAATTTTGATGTCAAACCTCACAAAGATCTTTGAGTACTGAAATAATCTCTCATAACTTTGTAATATTCCCAAGTCATCATGTCACATGGCCAATCTTCAGGCTTCCAACATAAAGTCTGTTTTAGGATGCTCTGCAAAAAATTAGAAATGAAATTTCACGCATTAATTGGAAGACGGCCATAGAATGTTGGCAAATTGCTCATGGAAGGCAGGTTCCAGGAGGTGTTGAGGCGGTGAAGGTATTTCGAATCTCACTTGATGCAAGATCATGCCATGAGAAGTAGGTTTGAGATAGATAAATGCACTGAACTGCCTATTTAAACAGATGATTCTTTTGCCTTGCTGCTGCCTGTCGCTCGAGAATCAGCGGTCCGCGGAGAGGTTCGAACTGGTGGAGTTCGTTCACCTAATCATGATTGCAGTTTATAAGTTGTCTCACTCCGATTTATGAAAGCTAGGCGATTAATGGAAAGGAAATTATAACAGGCTTCTAAAACTATTCTTAGGGTCAAACAAGGTTGTAGCATACCCGCGTTGATTGTCTCATTACCCCCGCCCACCTTCGATTATCGTTTATCTACCGCAGGCGTAAGCATGAGACCCTACCAAGCACAATGATTAACATGTCCATAGTTGTCATGTCAAACCACTGCGGACCAGTTCAGCGGACTGTGGGGTTTCCGAATATTGGGTCATTCAAGTGAAATATAATAGTTTTCAGGCATGATAAACTTCATATAAAATAATTTAGCTACCTCTTTTTGCACTCAGTGCAAAGCACTGCTTAGTTTGAATTTACACAGATCAACTTTTTGAAATCTGCAATAAGTGTTTTTTTTAGAATTCCCGGTTTTTCTGAGCACGTGTAGATGGGAGATTCATTCGAAAATTCAAAAAAACTGATTTTTTGAAGCAAATAAAGCTTGCTCATCTTCCATATCCTATTGAGCATTGCTTGTGGAAGCAATTTAATAACAAGGAAGCTTTGAAACTTCGAAAGCTTTCATGTTTTTGCTGCAGTCGTGCGTTTCATGGCTTTACCAAAAATTGGGATCTTCAAAATAATTTGTCAAAGCTCCTTAAAGCAGATCAGAAGCAGTAACATCTGGTGTTGGAGCAGAATGTTGGCACTTATCGAAAAGCACTCAGAAATTTATGTTAGTATATCTGACAGAAGGAGAAGCAAAAGCTGCAGCTGCATCTAGTGCATGTCTAATCAAATTTAGGTCTCTATGTACAAGGTTTTATAGTCGTTTAAAATAACTGACAAAACTTTTGCGTTCAAACTAATAATATAGTATTTGGTTCATAGAAGGTAATATTACATCTGCCTTCTTGCTGCTTATCATTTCCGGACTTGGATTACTTTTTTTTTCTAATTACTGCGAGCTAAACCTGCGCATCAATTCATTGACTTCAAAATTTCTTTGAGGTTATCAATTTCTACTTCTTTACCACCGGCTCAGCTTAGACTTAGGAAACCTCTAGTGCATTTCTAGAGTCGGAATTGAACTATTCGTTACAGGTTCACATCAAAAAGTCAGAAATATTTATCTCCCAAAACGTGAAGGAAGTGCGCAGTCAAAAACTTTCATTTCAGGAGCAAATGCGAGAGTATGTCAAAAATGGAGCCACAGGCCTGAATGCTCAAAACTCATTTTCGTTTAGGTACGTGATCATCTGAAAGAGATTCTCAGAACGTGAAACTGGTACTTCGAAATTGTTCAGAGTCACATGCAATCGAGCCGGTGAAAAGAGTTTGCATAAGTTTTCTTCTATGGATGCAGCGCGTGCCCTCGGTGGTCAGATAAACAATATCTTTGGGTGGCGACCAGACATGAAAACGTTCGACATGGAGGTTATAATGAACATCAGAGGCAATGGGGTACGCATTTGTGCGAGATTTTTTTGATTTTCCCGCTTGATTTAGATTTTGGTAATGGTAGCGCTTAACAAGGAGTCCCTCTTCAAGCGTAACGTTTGTGCTTTTGGTCCTACAACAATGAGATCAACTATGTGTTATTGTATGACAGCACTTGCAGAACCTGCTGAAGGTCATCTCAAAGCTCGAAATTAAAACTATTGTAGGACCTTTTTTAGGAGAAGTCATCATAGATCCAATGTGCGGAGGAGGTTCAATTCCCTTGGAAGGCGCGTTGGCGTTTCCTGGCTGTCTCTTCATTGGTGCTGATATACATCCGAAAGCACTGGAAAGATGTTTAGCGAATAAGGTTGGAGTCTACAACTTCGTACACTGAGATACTCAGTTTCAGTCGACACCTTCCCTGGAATTACAAGATTCTGTATTTCAAGTACAACAAAAATTTAGTAAATACACCGTTTTTTGCCTCCAAAGTCTGCCAGTATGTGAAATTCAGGGGTGAAAAATATTTTGAAAAAATTAAAACTTGTCGAAAAACTTGCTTTTCCTGCATCAAGATTTGTTACAGAGACGTTTTAGATAATTCTTGAAATTTTCTGAAATAGCTCTTCAATGAAAAAATGCGAATGTGCGTCGTCAACACAGCGCACCATCTGCTCACCATAGAAAGTGGTTGTCTTGTGGTCGGACCGCGGGTATAACGTTACCGATGCTAGAGCTTTGCACTCTCAGCACACATTGAACATGAAATTTTTCTTAAGCTTTTCGGATTTTCAAAATATAAATAAAAGTGTAAAGAAATTATCTGCCAACCTGATCTTTGGCAAACCATTTTTGGTTGTGATTGAATCGCAATGGAGACTCTTCAGGATTTCCATTCGGAAGAAAGGGGAGGCGACAAACATTTTCTTCCAATGAAGGTTTGTGGTCAACGCCACGCACCCGAAGAATTTTTTGCTCCCCCAAAATTTGACGGTTTATAACCTTCCTATAACCTGAAATTTCCAAAACGAATTTGAATTTATAAAAAATTTCAGAGATCACTTTGATCTTACAAGTATGAACAACTTGCTCGTAATTTTGTTCAGAGGAACTGTGCACAGCATCTGTACCAAGGAACTTCAAAACTGGAATTTCTTTGCTGTGATGCTACTGAGCTTCCATTGCGGGATAATTCTGTAGATGCAATCATCACTGATCTTCCGTAGGTCTTTAAGTCTTCCCTTCTCTGGAACGATTATTCAGTACCGGAATGTTAACAGTTCATTGCTTGTCAAACTCACCTTGTTGAAATTCAGATTTGGTAAGAAGATTGGCTCAGTTGAAGACAACCGGATATTATATCCCCGCCTTTTGATCGAATGGGAGCGACTAGTCAAGCCTAATGGTCGGCTGGTGGTAATGACGCATGACAAACGGAGTTGGGGTAAGTTGTTAGTTTGGGATGTTGGTTCTCGAACATCCTACCGAATACTAGGTTGAAGCTTTCTTGTTCGTTTGCGCATTAACCGTTTTCATTTTCATGAAATACCTTTTTGAAGTCCGGAAAAAGCATACTTCCTCGGATATTTGGATGGTCTATCTTCAAGTCGCATGTGCCTTAGCACAGATGTGCAAATTTCTAAGCATAACAAATACTCAGAAAAGAGTCAATACTGTTTGGACTCGAAATTGAGGAGCTAGAGTTCGTGGACAAGTTTAACGCCCTTATAGGTACCGTCCACCCTAAGTTGAGGGTGTAGAGCTTTTGGCAGCATATAATAGTAGGGCCTCCTATTAATCCAGTGCCCAGGTCGTGGCGCAAAATGCCGCTTCGGAAGTGAGAAAATCGCTTTAAATTAACGAAAATGCACGAGGACCCCCATCCATGCCCGCCCATTCATGCGCGCCCATCCAATCACCGTTTCGGAAAGCCGGCCTGTGGGTTCTCCAGAACGGGGGTTATCGGGATTTTCGCGCATTCTCGGCTTCATATTCGGATTCAGGGACATTAGAAGGCCCTGAAACTACAAAGACGTGGATGTCGAAAATCTGGGTGGACGGTGCCTTTATGCACGTACATCCCCGCTGGGGGGGGGGGCGTCTGAGAGAAGACGCTTCATATTTCGCTGCTATAGATATCTTTGTTCCCTTTGCTTACAAGTGGAAAATATCACTGTTTTGTGTGATCCCTTAGGATCCCCGGAGATCATCTCAAATTGTCAAAGTCATTTATATTCCCATAAATTCAATGAAAATGCTGCAAAATTGTACTCAGGATATACTACGCCACTGCTAAATATGTTATAGTAAAACCTGTGAATGTAAGATATCGAAATCTTCAATAAACCGTGTTCGCGAGCAGAGGTTGATAAAAAATAAAATTGCACACATTCGTTTTGTCGAGAACATCTTTAGCAGTGCCATAGTAGATCCTCAGTACAACTTTACAACGTTTTCATCGATTTCCTGGATGGATAAAGAAATTTGAACACAATGGGTGATTTCCTGAATATTTCCAGGTCTCACGAAAAAGCTAAAATCTCAGCTTGCACGGCATTGTTCTCCCACCCATTATACTCATGTATCACAGTTTAAGAACCTTTATAACATGGGTAAAAAAAAGGAATACAGATATCCAGAATAGCTAGATTTGACGAGTCCCCTCTCAGATCCCCTCCCCTCCCCAGCGGGGATGTACCTGCATACGTGCCTAAGGGCCGCATGCACTAACATTCCCGCTAAGGAGGGGATCGCAGTAAAAGGGAAGCTTCATATCCTGAAGCTCCAGATAGATGGATTTCACGCTGTCTACCTATCCGTAAGTATTCCCACCATCCTTCACTATGTACATATTGAATGAGAGCAAGAAGCTGCACAAACCGCATTCTCTAGCATTTTGCATGATCCCCTGATCCTCGCGGGCGACAGTCTTTTCTTCTCATTTTTCTTTTTCAGAGTTAGCGAAGACACTCGAAGTTGTACTTCATTCTCGCCCAACAGTGCTTTGCTGATGCATGTTCTCATCAGCATGTTGCTGATGAGAACAAATGATGAATTGGAGTCATGAAATTTGCGATGAACTACAAGTCGAATGTTGGGGTTTATCGAAAAATTCGATTTTTCAAAAAACTCATCTATTCTTACCAGCAACATGTTCACCACGTTGTGTTAGATGTTCAGTTCAACTTTGGAAGGTTTTCGTTAACTTCGAAGAAAGAAAAAGTGAACTTTGAAAAAAGACAGTCGGCCGCCGTGGATCATCAGGGGGTCATACAGAATGCTGGAAAATGCTGCTTGTACGCATTCTCGCTCCTGTTCAACATGTTCATAATGAAGGCAGGAGGAATACTTACGAGTACTTACAGCAGGAAAACTAGATATCTGGAACTTCAGGATATGAAGCTTTTTTTGCTGCGATCCCCTCCCCAGCGGGGATGTTAATATTAGGTTGGCTAATAAATAAGTTCGTTTTGACATGCAAATTCAAAGCTTCGTAACAATTCACGTAACAGCTATTCAGCCAAGATTTTTTCGTGGAAAGATAGCCTCAAGCCTCTACTCTTAAATATTGAATAGTCAAGATTTTATGTTAGCAAAAAAGGCAGTTATAACCTTATATGGTCAGACTTAAAAAAACGCTTTTTTGACTCTCTAAGTTTCGTTGAGCCTGCAGTGAATACACAGGCGAATAGTTTGGTGGCTGGGTACATACTGCCTCTGGCTAGGTGGCGAGCCACAATAGAGATTGTGACCTGCCTGTTTCTGAATTTAAGCAGCGCCAAAATTGTGAAAATTTCCAGGCATTTGCGCGTGAAGGTCAAATTTTGGGCTTTCCAGATAACTCGAATTCGGCTATCTATGGCCATGCAAATGGTTGAAAATTCAAAAATTTGTTGTGTCGGTAGCGAATCTACACAATATACCCGACTTCAATTGGTTTTTAGAACGTGATTTTTCGAAATTTTGAGGAAAAAATCGGACCAATTTTCTTTCCCCTTTTTTTCATTATCAGAAAAATCAATTTTGAGAAAACAGAGTTTATCTTCCGATTCTCCTTGATTTGCTCCTTCCAATGGTACCATAAATACACACGAAAACTGATCTGTGACAATTCTACAAACCGCTAAAAACGACCGAACTTATTTTTTAGCCAACCTAATACATGCGGCTCTAAGGAGCATGCTGCGGGTAAATGGGTATTGTAGAGGGAGGCTAGTGCTACTTGTTATGCTTACCGATTTTGATGATTTTTGCTTTTGATCGAAGGTAGGTGTTAATGAAGGCGTAAATGAGCAGTTAACCTCTACTGACTCTCTTAACGGTGACGACAGGAAATGGGTGTTCAGAGTGGATTAGGTTGGTGACTCCCATGTGTTTGTATGTAAATCGAGCAGAACCGGATTTGCCACCGCATACAGTAATATGCGTAACATTATTTTGCTGTATCAGCAAATATCGCTTGTTGTTTTGCATACTACTCAGATAATCGACGGGGGCATAATCAGCAAAATTTTGGGGCGTGGCTCAACTTCAGCGAGCGGTACTTCCTTTACTGTCTAATGTTCTGCCAGCGGGCAGCAACACAGGATTTTGTGCAGGCGCTCAAATAATCTCTTTCAGCAAACGCTGGCCGAACTTTCAGCAGGCGCTCGGACTCTTTTTACGCACTTTCGGACTTACGTCGAGCACAGGCAAGACTCTGTGTGGCAGAGGTGTCACCGTTGGTTTAATTACTCAAGTTTGAGGTACTTTCTCAACGGAAAGTACCTGGGGGCTGCGCGGTCCTCCACAAAGGACCGTGCGGCCCTCGAAGTTCTTGCATATTCTCGCGGAAAGTCCGCGAAAATCGGCCACTGGGCCGCAGCTAATTCACAAGGAAACCGCGATTGTTCTCCAAGCATTCGTCTAAAATTTTGCTAAAGTTCTTCCATATATCTGCAAGCGGACCGCAAGTAATCAGCGAACTATTTCTCCGGTGCCCGCCCGCCCATAAATCGCATGGCCGCCTGCTCACGACGATTATCTGAGTACATGAAGTGTCCTTCACTGTGCTAATTGAACAGATTTCTGTTTGATTATTTAACATAGTCGATACAAAGTATTCGTATATTTGAAATGTTTTCTCGAATATATTCGATTATTCGAGAAAACTTTATTTCGAAGATATTTGATATTCCATTATTCGACGTTTTTGATTTTGGAAAATATTTAATATTTGAATATCCGGCTTTTTTCTGCCTTCGAAAATATTCGAGATTCGCCAATTTGATATTCTTGACTTTTAAATATATTCAATTATTCGATTAATCGAAGAAAATTTTGACCATTCCAGTATAGTATACTGCGGAGGGTCGCTCAATCGGTAACTCGGGAAAGTTTGGGGCTTCGACCAGAGTTGCGACGGGTAAAAGAACGGACTTTGTTTTCTTCAAGTTTGAACCGACACCTGGTTGACCCCCGCCTAAGGCTGAGACCTGGAGTTTACCAGGATTTTCAGATTATATTAGGGTGCCCCCTATTGTGCCATTCAAGTCCTTTTAGATGAGACCCCTCCTACGCGAAGAAAATTGGGGGCAAAAGGGGGCGGAATGCGTTTCGGTGCGCACTGGACGATTCGTTAGTTTTTCTATTGCGTTTTGACACGTCTTTCCGGGCGCGCCATCCTTCTTGGCATGTTCTACCTTGCGGCCAAATCCAAAATGGGGTGGGACTAGTTGTCCGCATCGCTTCTACGAAGACTTTGGAGAACGGTATTGTTGGGTTTTTATGCAGATTTAGCCCGTATAGGGTTATACAAGGTGGGAAAGGCTTGTAATTCAGGAAATCTCGGCCTTAAATCTTGGTGAGACACTGCTTTCAACGCGGAAACCGGCGCATATGACTACTTTTAGGGAATTGTTCAGGGTTAACAAACATATATCTTAGCTCAGCGTTTCAAGCAGCGCCAGGACAAAGCTCTAACCCTTTACTTATGAGATTGCATAAGCTCGAGGACTAGGCTGTTGAAACTTGCGTATCCATATTATGATCAGTAAGATAACCTCTCATTAGAGTGTTAGTGAGTGGTTGCAGAGAAGAATCAGAGAAGAAAAGCAAAAAATTCATATGCCAGCACTGCTAGAGCGATGTACGTTACGTTGATCATCTACGGAATTTGCAGAGCGAGCCATTGCACTCCATGGTGGAAGCTGGCGGTCTGTTTCACATTACAATGTCAATGTCGGAGGTCTGCAAACGCTTTGTCATTGTCTGGTCAATACAAAAACTTGAGTGTCATAGGAAGCTTTATTGTAAAAAGTTTGTATTGGTTATCCCGTTTACTGGCTTCATTCCCTGAATAAAGTTCTATTGCTTATAAGAAGCTTATTCCGTTTTTTAATTTCATAAAGAGCTACGCAGAAATTAGAGGAGAACGATACTTTCATAGAGGACGATACTCAATCTTCTAAAGTTTGTCTCGCTCTCTGTAAGACCAATCGATTTGCTTAACATCCTTTGGTAGTGTTCCAGAGACGCGTAATTCTTCAAACAGTGGCATTAATCAGTAATGATGGATTGGTGCAGCTTCCCTCATTCGCGTCGCTTCAAGTCAAATTTCAAAAGTTCAAACAAGTTAGAGTCATTTTTTCATCACCTTTCCAGTGGCAGGCCCACTCACTTGATATGCATTCCTCCTTCAATGAACTTCACAAATTGCTGATATCAATGTGCTTCGATCTCTAGATTTCGTTTGCTGCCTATCTTAAGTTCCCTGTTTCTCATGGCCGCCTCCTCCAACTTTCATAACTAGTAAGAAAAGCTACCCAACTTAGCTCAACCTTTTGGCAAGGGACATAGTTATTCTGAATCAGCTTCAAGTGGCTCCGTCCGGCCCTGTCAAAAAGCTATGTTAAGGCTCCCATTCCTATCCCTGTTCAACATTTCCTCCTGCCCACATCTGCATGCAATTCCCTATTCCCGCTGCGTTAGCAATCAGCATGCTCACCTACCTCCTCAACAACCCCAGCCCCGAATATTGTCTCGTAATCATCCTGCCCACTTACCCTCCCCCCCCCTGTGCCAACTCCCAGCCCCGTAGCTCAAACTTTGCAAAAAATCTATAAAATCGATGAAAGTAATCGGTAATTCTGGAAACTAATATTGTATTCGGAATCGCCATGCTCACTTACCCCCCCCCTGCCAACCCCCAGCCCTGTAGCTCAAACTTTGCAAAAAATCTATAAAATCGATAAAAGTAATCGATAATTCTGGAAACTAATATTGTATTCGGAATCGCCATGCTCACTTACCCCCTGCGCCAATTCCCAGCCCCGTAGGTGAACTCTGCAAAAAATCGATAAAAATCGATAAAATCGATATCGATCGATAACGAAAAGTAGCCTATGACATGCTCTCTGCCCCGAAGTGTATGTGTGCCAAGTTTGGTCCAAATCGGTACAGAAATAAAAATTTCTGTTCCGCACATACGTACAGACAGACAGACAGACAGACATACAGACAGACAGACAGACAGACAGACAGACAGGCAGACAGACAGACAGACAGACATACAGACATACAGACAGACAGACAGACAGACAAACAGACAGACAGACAGACAGACAGACAGACAGACAGACATACAGACATACAGACAGACAGACAGACAAACAGACAGACAAGCAGACAGACAGACAAACAGGCAGACAAACAGTCAGACAAACAGACAGACAAACAGACAGACAAACAGACAGACAAACAGACAGACAAACAAAGTGCTGCGCCGTTGGTATTTCTTCTGCGAGAATTCGTAAAAAGTGGTGCGAACATTCCCATTTTTGATCGCTGTGACGTCACTCGCCTGCGGAAGTCCACATTTTTAAGGGCTTTTTCAATAGTACACAACGCTGCGCGGAACCACGGCAAATTTCGCTTGTCACGCCGAACTTTTTGTGGATTGTCCAAGTTGTTTTACGAGTGAGGTCTGGCTCTTTTAACACGTTTCGGACCGCGAAATCGCGCGCGGCGAAAAAGAGTGTAATTTCAGCCGTTAGCCAACAAAGAGACCTTATTTCGTAGGCTGTGGGCTACATCTGTAATTAGCACGCCAGATAAGCTCCATACCATAAGTTCTGAGTGAATTCGAAGTGTTTGAATTTTGTCGCATGAGAGAGACTTCTGTGCTTTCTTGAAAGATAGGAACAAACAGCAATCAATACTTTCTATGTTTAACGCGGTACATATCATTATTGAAACTACGGTTTTTCTCTTTGAAATCGAAGCAAAGAAACGTTGCGACGTCGCACGCGTCGTTCGCGTTGCCGCACTTCGTTGCAACTGTTGTTCAGTTTGTCCCCATATTTCCTAAACAAATACCGGTGGCAGCTCTACAGAGTTTTTTGAAAAGGGAGAGCTTAGCTTTTTGACTTGATAACCTTTGACAATAAGAAAACCTCCTGTAAGCGTTGGAAAGACCTTTCAAAGCCGCGTGCTGCACCACGTGCAGCACCGGTCGGAAACGTGTTAACCTGCAGCATCTAAAAAGCCAACACCGGAGATGCTTAATGATGTTCATAAACGTATTTTATAGGGCTGCTGGGTGGCTTTCGCATCTCGCTTCACTAGCTCTGGTGCAGAGAGAGTCGTATTTTTAGGCTAGACTAAGAAGACTTGACTTGTCAAGTATTGCTGATGCTGGTCAGCGTTGCATGGCAGGGCTAGCATTTGCATCAAACTTTTTGACAATTCATTTGTGTGCTTTGGATGTGCTGTGATAGCGGATGGATTCGATATGGGCTTTGTTTTTTTTTTATTAGGGTTATCCTCAAATTGATCTTTGAAAACTGTTTTCTCAGGTTCTGTTGTTCTTGTATCGATTTGCGGTTTCAATTACGGCTATTACATAACGGCTTTAATGTTTTCTCGTGGCTCTTCTTTTATTTGTTCTAGTTTTTACTAACACAGATTGCACCATCATGTTATTATTAGTTCGAGTACATTTCGCTTCGGCTACATAACGTTCACTGGTATAGCTCGCTGGTTTTATCTAAATGGGTTGGATGTGCAAAATGTTTCCGCATTCGAAGTCATTGGGCGGCTCTCCCCAATTCGGTTGGGCGGAGTTAGTAGATCCGAGTCAGCAGTCTTACTTCCGGTTTGCTTCTGAATATGTGTCAAAGATCGTTTTGCTGGCAACGACAAAGGCTTGGCTCTCATTTTCATGAAGTTAGTTTTGATAATAACATCCAAGTTAAGGTCTATTCCAATCCCAATCGGGTCAAATTTGGCCGTAGTCGGAGTCGCGAGAGTTTTACGCTACATCCTGCGCCTCATCTGCTCTCTCTTTAATCTCTTCGCGCTCCCCGATAACGCGCGTATGCAGCGCTAACCCCAACGCTAACGCCCAAATTCAAGCCAATGTTTCGTGATCCTGTTTGGAACAAACTGTATATGTCCATGCAAGCTTCCCCTTTCGTTTTCGAGGTTGCATGATTAAGATTAGGCTCAAACTGACGTAATGTGCTGTTTGACTTCGCCCATTCTTCTTTTATTTAGGGTGGGGCAAGTGTAGGAGCCTAGGGCTTTTTCAGATAAAATCGGAATGAAATTACGTAGAAACACAAAATTTGGTGCACACATAAATCAAACCTTTACAAATACAGCGCAACCTTTAAATCTTGGGATTTCCCCTTCTGACTTCAAAGCGACCCTTCAAAATCTTGGCGAGTTCACTTGTCGTAGCACGCAGGCAGTCGTGAGGAAAAACGTCGCACGCCTTCAAGATAACTATCTCTTTTATTAGACAAATGTGCAGTATGACAAAGCAAGTTTTTGGCTGCAACATATTACGAAGAAGCTGTTTTGCAATATTTAAGAAAAAATCTCAGATTTTTTTAAAAACAAGTGCACTCGCAACCGCAAAATTCAATGCGACTGCGCGAACGAGAGCGAAAAACTACGATCAAGCGATCGAATCAGATAGCTGCTTTTATAGAAGACTCATGGACTCATAGAATACAGCCTTAAACTCAGTACCTGCTGCGCTCCTATAGCTTTCAAATTTATTTCAACGACAGATGACAACTGGTACGCGGGTACCATTCGCAAATTTTTATATTGCGTTTTCGAAAGAATAGTTTCTGGCAAACGCAACTAATGTGATGTGATAGCGCAAAGCCTCCTCTACATTGTTTGCATCAAAGCGTTGTAGAATATTCACGGCATCTTTAGCTACGGTATAAATTGTGAATACTAAAAATTTTGCATATTTCTTTCTGCAGAAGCACTTGTTTGATAAACTTAGAAAAAAATAGGGCAAGCATTTTTGGCTAGATAAAGCGTGAATCAAAGATGATTGCAGCATTACGCGGCACAAATTTGGATTTCGTGATTTACAACACTGCAAAGTCGGCTCCCAGAATTTTACCCCACCCTGTACTTCATTGTGTTACTAACACCTTTAAATTGTTTATTCTTACTAGTGAGCCGGTAATTGAATGTGTTGTGCGTCCGCGCGCTTCGGGACCGCACCGCGGTTTCCGCTATTTGCAGATTTTTGAATTGCGCTTAGGGTTCTTCATGTATTAGATTAGATGCAGACCTCGGGCGCACAAATGAAAATGAAAATAAAAACCTATCACATAACCGGTTTAGGTCTGAAATTCGCTTTGTTGATTATATTGCAGATCAGCCTAAAACACTTTGCACGAACAAGCGCAATCTACCATTACATCCGATTTCAATTTTTCGGCTTGCTCTCTTTGGATTCTCGAGGTCTTTTTTACTAAAACGAGGGGCATAGTGGAAATGCACTATGTTCAAACTTTCCTGGCAATGTTTGCGTGAAGGCAGCGTCCAGGCACATCTGGCAAGTGGGACTTTCACGTCTAAAATGGATCCTGGACTAAGGCATTCCAGCGGTAGCGCAGATGATTCATGCATTAGCTTGGATGCTTTCGTACAAGGTCAGGGTGCCTTCGTAATGCTGCCGCTTCCACAGCGCTTCCTTACGGTTCCATGATCAGTTTACACCCGAAAGTGTCCGACATGCCAGATTTGCTTGGACGCTGCCTATAAGGAAAGCCTCATTCTTCTGGGTTTTAAGCAACATCAGTTGGACTGGGACTGACAAATAGCTTTTCATTTTGTACTCTGCTTTGTTCTCAAAACTTATATCTGTGTATCTCTACTTTGCTTTAGAGCGTGTGCAGTGAACAAATAAATTACAATGAACAAGTAAATAAATGAGTGAACAGGCGAATTAAGAGTTCAAACAGTGTGACTTTTCTAACAGCGCATCAATTCTGTCACAAATAATCAGTGCCACAAAA